GGTGCTCAATATTTTTATGTACTCATTCATCTATGCAGGATTTTTTCTCAAAACTTTTAAATTGCATCGGTATAAAAGCCAAGGCATCTGCTCTGCAGCAACACAATTCAAATGCATGTATTGGCTACACAATGCACCAATCCACACTACGGCAGGAGCATATATCAGGGCCGTAGGAAGCTCTTTTCGATTGGGAGGGGGCTGAAAGCGAGGGCCGAAGGCCCGAGGAAATTTTTAAATTTAGAGTCCCTGAAATGCCATTTCCTGGACTTTGGGGAAGATTTGACAGAATTCTAATGGTCAGAAAACAGCGTTTTAGTATGTCGAAATTTACAATTTAGTAGTACTAAATGGGCGAAGGCGTATTTAACTATATATTGGATAAGTTGCAGGAAAGTATGGGTAATATCTTCATTCTTTGCAGTTTGCATGTCATGGATTAAATGATAAAGGTCTGCATGATTTTGAAAAAAAATTATTATTAGCAAATTATTGGGGAGCTGCAGCCCCCCCCCCCAGTTGCTACGGCCCTGTATATATGATGCTTGATTAACTGAGGAGGGGGGAGTTGAATATTTGGAATCTCTAGATCGTCGGAAATGGCACTTTCAGAGTTTTCATTAATTTATCGATTGTGATTCTAGAGATGCTATGAAATTATATACTCGGAAAATGTACTTCTCCTCCTGAGACCTTATCATCTGGGACACAAATAGGTAATAAAATTAGCATACTGATTCCCCAAGCTGTCTTAAAAAAGTAGGATTTTATGAGAAAAAGTAGGAAAATCAAGCAATTTTTAATAAAAAATAGGAAAGTTGAAGAAAAGTAGCAAAAAGTAGGATGGCAAGAAAGCCTATTACTTAAAAGTATTAACCTATATAGTATATACTACGCAATGACTGCCATACTGTGCAGTCATAAAAATGTTTGCCAGACCCTGGGCGCCATTTTGCAAAACATCTGGGATGATTAGTCTAAGACATCAATTTTAAATAAAGTTTACCCTTGTGGCATATTTAAATGTTCTGCCAGATTCTATAAACCGCATTTTTGTAGATTTGTAGATTGTACAACAACTACTTATTCTACCTATCAATAGTTAGATACAGGACAAAAACCATAGGACTCATGACATGCATATCTCACGCCATGGTTTGCTTTCAAGACCCTGTGAGTATGTACATAATCTAGCTGCATCCATACTTAAATACTAAGGAATAAACTTACAATTCTCACATAGACTTAACCACATGTGATGGATAGATTACGGAATGGGCTATTCCATTTAATATCCGTACCCCCCCTGTCGAGGATACATGTTTTTCATAGTTATACCCCTGAAGAATTCCAAGCTCAAAATCCTTTACCCCTGAAGAATTCCAAGCTCAAAACACTCTACCCCTGAAGAATTCCAAACTCAAAACACTTTACCCCTGAAGAATTCCAAACTCTGAAAAATTTCGATCTCAAACCTCTTTACCCCTGAAGAATTCCAAGCTCAAAACACCCTACCCCTGAAGAATTCCAAACTCAAAATCCTTTACCCCTGAAGAATTCCAAGCTCAAAACACCCTACCCCTGAAGAATTCCAGGTATCCTCGACAGGGGGGGTACGGATATTAAATGGAATAGCCCAATACACAGTGAACGACTAAGCTTACAATATCTCACTGCATGGTCTACTTCCAGACCCTGTGACAACCTCGTTCCCAGGCTCTTTGCTCTTGGGAAGCAAAGACCCTGGTCGGGGCTGATGACGTCACACATAGAAAATTGATAGCCGAAGGGGGGATGGAAAAGTCTCATATTACATGTTTCCACTTCCGCACTTCGATTGCAAGGAGTGGCCGTTCTGTACAATCATCTAATTCATCTTCGAGAATCATATATACCTCAAACTACTGGCTAAATGTTTTTAAATTATACAAACATGCTAAAATGCAGATTCTTACAGCAACAGAAAATTCAGGAAACCAAGCAACGAGAACGTATGACTGTACGCTTTGAAATATTTTATTTTCTCGGAGTTCGCCGGTTCGGGCGTAGTTTCATTTCACGCGTACGTTTCTGTTCTGGCTCTGATATTTATAATATGCTTATAATATGCCAGTGAATTGTTCTGATATGGACACGGTATAAATTTTTTAAACAGATGTCTCAAAAGCGACTGTTTATAGGTGGACACAAGCCAAATACACATTGAATGTCCATTTTATTGATTCTAAAACTGTTTATAGACATATTGCTCTAGATTTTTTTTAAAAGGTTATCATCGTTTATGTTAAACACCAGGAAGACAAAATATAACGTACAAAATTGTTTGAAATCGACAGTGCACAGCTGACATACGACAATTCACACTGCATGAATTTCCTTTTTTGTCGATCTGCATGAGTACCTGTTTGTTGAAGCCAAAATATTGCACAGCATCTCCTATAAATTCTATCGCCATTTACCCTCTCCCCTTAAATGCAAAGGAATGACAGCAGAAAAGGTTTAGCAAAGTATTTTTTATTACATCTGGTATAAAGTGTCCTACGTTTTATCAGGATATACATAATTCATAAACTGTATATGCACACGAAGTCTCGCTTATATTAATGAGTTTTACTGCAACAAACCTTTTAAAGTTTCCATTGATAGATAGGTTGTTTGCCTCCAGTATTGTTTGGTAAAACAGACTAAACTTCTAAAATATTGGTTACGGAATACGATAAATATTAAAGTTGATTTAAATATTGATAACTCACAGCGGCATTAATCCATTATACAAGTCTAAAGAAGTAATGTCAATGAAAGGTCTAATATTATACATGTTGCAAATTACTGTATACACAAAATATGAAATAATTTATATAAAGTACAATACCAGTGTCTGGTGCATATATCGTTGTAGATATTCAAGATGTACCGCACGGACGGAGGAGTCTTGGGGTTTGTGTGATAACAGATAGCTAGCTACACTTCGACATTATCTTTCTTGATCGTTGAGTTTCAGCAATGTAAATGAAATGAATCCTGTGCTTTTACAGTCAAAATAGCACCATTGTTTACACATGTTGGCGATGTTAAGGAAATCAAAGGATCCCGTTATAAAATAAATCTTTTGTTTTGAATATCGGACAGGATACACTTCAACTATAAAGAACCATATCGTTCGTTTAATACCGTTTGATCGATCAGTCTGTGTAGAAGATACGTATGTTCCTACGGCGATACGTGCTAAACTTCGCAAGCCAGGCGCGTGTGGAGTGTTTTCCTTGCAAGTGAAATATGATCCAGCTTCTCGCTTGAAATGTAACGCAACACTTATTATTGATGACATTCAGTTTAGCAGGAAGTCTTGTCATGATCAGTACGAATCTAGAACGTTCCTTTCACAATCTCTTGTTGCAAATTACATTTTTATCACCCGAAATTATAACACATAAAGTTGCAATTTTCAAAACGCAACAAACACGCTCCTCTACCTCCCGACCCATAGTCATATTATACGTTTACCCAGAATCTGGGTGTGACGTCATCAGCCCCGACCAGGGTCTTTTTTAATCCTAACCCCAACCTTAACCTAACCCTAACTTATTTAAAAAATTGATATAAAAACGGAAACCTTATTTTGAAGTATACTATCTAGCAATTTCCCAGGGTCTTTGCTTCCCAAGAGCAAAGAGCCTGGGAACGAGGTTGACCGTGTGAAGATATATTTAAGAAAACCATTTACTCAAATGAGATACAGGAAAATTACACAACGCAAAATCACAAGTCTTGTTACCAATTCCTAATTTACAACATCGCCGTATGGTCAAATCCGACCTGTGATAAATTCATGTGCATCATCAAATTACACCTATCAATTACCAAGTAATAACTTTACATACAGCACATGCTAACTTCAATTACGATATTTCTACAATGAAATGACATAAAGAGACACAAACAACGCGTGCACCTTTTATACAATATTTCACGGCATGGTCTACTTTCAAGACCCCGTTGAAAATAACAGTAATTCATTAGATAAATAATGATTATAAATACACCACAGGTCCAAGACGCATGTAGAGGTCCTATTACCTATCCCAAAATTAAAATATTACGTGGTATGGGGCTGCCCGCAGGCTAGTAGGACATACGTTCGCGCGTATTTACTACTTGTATTCAAAAGACTGGAAATAGTATCGTCCTCACGAAAGGTTTAATTAAAGAAAATTACAAGGTCTAATTAATTAAATTCAGTAGAACTTCGTCTTGACACACAAGGGAAAAGCAGTGAAATTCCCTAATTATAGCGTTAGCCATCTCCTAGTAGGAAACGCTTTTCCCGTATTTACTCCTACTATTTTGGCAGACGTTTCCCCCGCCATTTCCGTATACTATGTCGTAGTCTACCCTGCGTCATTTCAAAGCTGTCCTAATCCGGATCTTGTGGTTTTTAATTCGGGACCTACGATGAAAGCCGGTAATTGGGCCATGTTGAAGGAACGCTAACAAAAGAATACGATTATCACCTATTACCGTTTTTGGAGCGCGTGTGTTTTCCTCGAACATGGCCGATGTGTTGCAAACCACCAATACTCGAAAGTCGACACGGCCAAACCAAATTGCCAACTGGACTAAACTTTTGCAAATTGAAAAGAGTCACAAATCAAACAGATTCTAACAGCTAGGCATAATAAACGTGGTAGCAAATCAGTACGTACCGATGTACCAAATGGGTAACAGATGCATAAACTAGCTGTTATTCGAAACAAAATTGACCTTGAGCAGTGGTTTACTCACCACGATGTTGTTTGTAATCCATCCACTACATTTTTCGAAAATGTTTCAAACCATTCAGTTTTTTAGTCATTGAAAGATATTACCAAGCACTTGATGTTTCCGTAAATCGAATGGTTTGCAACTTCTACAAAATCACGAAAATGCTATGGTATCGAAACATACAGGAACCAAACGGTAGATTACTTTTATATTAAGATTTACTTTATGTATAAATAGGTTATATAATAACCTTTATAGTCGTATATTTGTGGTCAATAAATTATACATTTAGTCTATTTTACAATATAAGATAACTTATAATTAAGCCTGGTTTTCACCATGTGAGCGCAACATTAATCGCCAAGCAGAAAATCAAAGCATTCAACCTCAGCAGAATTAAAGCGTAACTCGAAAATAAACACGTTGCTTGCTTATATTTGAAAAGATCAACATTTTTTTCGAAACGATGGTCATTCACGAGTCTGTAGAGCTCGAACCCAATCGGACTCAGTGAAATGTTTATTTTCGATTTACGCCCGTATAGATTATTTTTACAAGCATATTACTATACCATTACGAACGTAGTGTTTCGAAACATTTCTCTTGCAGTAAGAACTTAATTCGTGCATCGTGGAATATTTAAACCAGCGAGATACTGACAAAACACAGGCAGAAACTCGGAATCGGATAACGATTGCTTTGTTGTGCGAAACGCTTCGAGGAGAATGGTGTCATGCTGCGATACCAAAAATCTCAGTTCCTACAAGATGAACGCACACATGTCAATCATATTCGCACGTGACAAAACAAGTACGAATTGAAATACAAAGGAGTTTGGCTGCGCCGCTCATTTTCACGTAAACGACACTTACACTGATAACCTTTCACGTCGTTTACATTGCTTTTCGTGCATTCACAGAATATGAATATTATTGAGGCAATCGTGCCTGGGGACGTGAGTGGAATAAGGGTACAGTGTAAATGTTGTAAGAGGTACATTACAAACAATCCTAGCAGTCACCTTATTCTGGTGACTAGTAATACACCCAGTTTCATAAAGCTGTTCAATAGAGTCCAAGATTTCCCTCCATTCTAAAAAAAAGGAGAAAATCTCACTCTCAGGGCCTGTTCATATGAGCGGGGCTGGGCGGGCGCCCGTTAAACCGGGCTAGTTCGCTTTGCCGGGCCAAGTTGTTATTGGTTTCACATGAGGCTAGCTAGCCCGGCAAGCGCTATAGAAATTCTCGCGCGATTTTTGGCGGGAACGCGATATTTGTTTTAATTTTGTTAATTTAATATTGTTAATTTCTTACTTGTTGTTTTAATATTGTTAATTTCTTACTTATCTTTTTTATTATCTAAAGGCCATGTTACACGGTGCAATTTTTCTTGCAACTTGCAATGCAATTCTACTCTTGAGAGATGTAAAATTACCAAATACGAGTCTTCATTACACTCCGCTGATGTTTTCTCAACATATCGAAAATTCACAGATTTCACTAATTAACATCTCTCAAGAGTAGAATTGCATTGCAAGAAAAATTGCACCGTGTAACATGGCCTTAACTCTTAGATGCTTTCAGATAGAATAAAGCATGCGTTGTGACACTACTTCCAGCCCGGTTTGCCGGGCTGGCCCGCCAAGTGTGTTCATATGACCCCGGGAAGGCGAGATCTCGCCTCGCTCAAACGGGAGCTCGGCAAACCGGGCTGGCCCGGTTCTCATGTGAATAAACCTCAAAAACATATAAAAACACCAGCCTCGTCCCCAGGCTCCAACTCAGACGCGCGGGTTCCGATACAAGCAGTGGAAACAAAATCGAAATTTTCAAAATGGCGGCTAGCCGTTTTGTTGAAGTTAGTGATAAAGAAATAAGCGAAATTAAAATGAATTCAGACCAGAAAAAACACAAAAAAAAACTTGTGCAAAAATACTAAAACAATTATTCACCTCAGGCTCGGTGATTATCGGGGAATATTCACCTCGACTTCGTCTCGGCAAATATTCCCCGATAATCACCTCGCCTTCGGCGAATAATTGTTAAATATTTGGATTCGTTGTAATCTGGCGATTCCAATCTACTCGAATACTTCTCGTAGCTGCACTAGTTAAAAAGAAAAAAGCATATATTTAAAGTTTTATATTTTGAGTCATATAGTAAATATTAATTGATTGATGCATTTTAGTAGAGAGTAAATTCCAGGTATATTATTTAAAACTTGACGAAACCTAGATCATTTATATATATTTGGAATCGTAATCTAGCGACTCTAAATCTAGTCGAATTATTCTCATAGCTCATGTACTTGAAAAGATAGAAGCAGATACAGTAAGTGTTTACATCTGGAGTTAATGGTGTAATTTGGGTCACGCCATAAAAGAGGGTATTAAATTTCATCTATATTTTGTTTTAGAACTTGATGAAATCAGAATAATTTATATATGTTTGGAATCGTTGTAATCTAGCGATTTTAAATCTATACAAATCATTCCCATAGCTGTACCAGTTAAAGATAGAAACAAATTTATAGCGTTTACATTTTGAGTCACAACTATTAATTGGATATAATTTTAGATCAAAGCCATAACAGAGGGTTTAAAGTTTAGCTCTGTATTTTTTTAAAGTTAATGAAACCTAGATAATTTATATATATTTGGAATCGTTGTAATCTAGCGATTTTAAATCTATTCAAATCATTCACATAGTTGTATTAGTTAAAAGATAGAAGCAAATTTATAGTGTTTATAGAGTCACAACTATTTATAATTGGATATAGTTTAGGTCAAGCCATAAGCATAACAGAGGGTTAAAGTTTAGCTCTGTATTTTTTTAAATTAATGAAATCTAGATCATTTATATACGTTTGGAATCGTTGTAATCAGGCGATTTAAATGTACGTGAATCATTTTCATAGCCCCACTAGTTGAGAAGATAGAAGCAGATATGTGTTGTATTTTGCGAGTTTTGAGCCATAATATTAATTTACACAATTTGGGTAAAAATATTACTCTTTTTCAGCTCTGGAAATATTATATGGACTGGCTGTTCCAGAGGTTATTAAAGGCACATGTTCGTCAAAATTTTCGTTGAAATCCTTATTTATTGTTGTTGCGAAACAGTTATCCGCCATCTTGAATGCAAATTCTTTTCTCACGAAACGGCGCAGCAAATCAAAGTGACTGGGGACGAGGCTGTAAAAACACTATACGAGGCGAGTCAGCCCGGTTTACCGGGCCAGCCCGGCTCATATGAACAGGCCTTTAATAAATATAATATATATATAAATGCTATATAAATGCCCGCCTTTAAAAAAATGAAGGCTTATTAATTAAAGAAGTTCCAACGTTTTACACGGACTCGATGGTAAAGCAACCATTACGAAACGTTTTACACGGAATCGATGGTAAAGCAGTCATTACGAAACGATTCTTCTACACAGCAACGATTCAAAATGATCAGTATCCATATACATGCAATAAGTAATTTTCATGTTCGTACGTACCTTTGCTTAAAGCTTCAATACCCAGATCGAGTACGTGCGTGGATTCGGGGGACAGCTGAGCAATTTCACGAAGAATTTCCGATAGTACCAGAGTATCGTCATAGGCTTCAATTGAAATCGTAGAATCCTTCGCTTCGGATGGCTTCTCAAGGGGTAAGTACGTGAACGTTACCGAATCGCTGCTGGTGTAGTTGTTAGCAAGATCCCCACTGATTTCAACATTGACAGTAAAAGGCGAGGTTATGGGGTCTTTGAGAGCGGGTGATTTCACCACACATGCACCCTATGGGAAATACAACAACCAACGCGAGGTAAATAAACGCACTGTACATTCACTCATTATGTTTCAGTTTATTTCAGCCCATCATTAGTCCGCAATCTTGGTATTATAATTGACCTTGGTCCTCGAGATGTTTTGAAACATGGCATACAAAATGAATTTTCTGTTTCTGCGGATTCTTACAAGTTACAAAGCAAGTTGTTTCAAAACATACAAACTTGATCTACTGTACCTTTACACTCTCTTACCGTGTTCGTTTTGCTTCTATCAATCTCCCCATAGGCTTGCCACATCTCACCTAAAACGCAAGAAGGCTTTGTTTGGTTCTATTTCCCTCTAAATTTTAACCAACAAGGGAACTCCCAATGAATTATGAATGGGGTCCATGTAGAAGCGCCGGTCGCTTAGCGACAAAAATGAGAAAATAAAAAGTAAAATAAATAATACGAATAATTCTCAAGCTGATAATTCCGAAAAATACCCTGTAAACAGCCAATCCCCATCAATTATTTTAGCGGCTACTTGAGAATTACTCAACACTAAACAATACAACATTGACAAAACAATTCAACAAATACAAATCAACTACTCGAACCTTTCACATCTGTATCCAAAAGAATTGACAGTGTGGGGACCTTGAATTACATAATCTCTCGTATTACATTTGGGCTAGCCCTTTCTTAGTAACGGAAACGAGTATGTTCTTAGATAACGGAAACGAGTATGTTCTTAGATGTACACCTGAGAAAACATTTCTAGGTGGTTGCCATTAGCTGTCGTCACAGACTGTCTGAACTGGTGTATAGAGCCACCACATATCAACTCGCATAGTTTGCCTTACAGGCTAGTTTGCAGGTTTACTAACGTTTCAGAAATAAAAACGACTGCAAAATTGTACAACAGATGTCAAAAGTTGAAATAATTGAAGGCCAAAGGACAAACACATTACTTTTAACAACATTAAACAAACCATAATACGTTTGCAACTGTTTTTGCCCAGCCCCTTCCCCAACAGAAACACATAGAACAGTTGAAAACGCTTGGAATGTTTCACACAATGACAGGTCCGGGGTAAAAAACCCAACTTTGATGAAGGAAAACGAAAAACCCACTCCCCCCGGTGCGCGCGCAAGAATCCCCCTCCTCAAACACATCCCCACGTTAAAATCCTTCCAGGGTCACACCTCCCACACACGTCTTTCCATGACAACTAAACGTTAATTTTTTGGATTTAGTTCTTACTGTTCCTCTCTTTGAGAATATTTTGTCTTAAAGATCACAATGACTAGCACGAGTGCCGCCCAAAACTGTCACTGTAATCAAAGAGAAAATTTCTCAGGGGACATTCTACGAATCCAGCGCCATAATCTGGAACCAAATAGAAAACACAATAAGCGAAAACAAACAGAAACTGTCGAAATGGTAGGAGAGAAGAATACGTTGGTCATCATATCCATGACGCGACATCTGAGCAATAAAATTGCAGACGTCATATAGCTGTTAAAGAGCTTCTATATTTTCTCATTCGAACCTTTAACATAGTTTAATTTAAGATGCTATCATTTCGGCAGTCTAACCATATTATAACTAATTCATACAGCATCAATAGAGGACAAAAACTGAAATCTCAAAACTGCAAACTAAATAAAATTGCATTGGGCGTTTGTAATACTTGCAACAGTTTCTAGGGTATTACATAAAAATGATGACCAACGCTTTGTTGTAACACAACTTAGTTGATGAACGTATTAAATACGTTAACACGCTGCATTTTACAGAAATCTCGCTGAATGAACCATTATTTATGACGAATTAAATAACACATCGCAGTTTCAAAATGCCATTTGTAGGATAAACGTCGAACATAAATACATAGTCTAAATCACAGTAAATTTTCTCCACTAGGTATTGAATAGTTTTGTGTAATCAAACTTTGTTCTTACAAGCAGGCACGCTATGCACTGATTAGTAGAAAATTTCACTTCAACGAGTCTATACATATGCATCGAAACACAGATTTTCCAACGAAACTTACAACTAATCGACATTCCAAAAAGATGTATCTGAAAACGCAACGTGTTAACGCATTTTTAGCCTCTCAAACTCGTTCACAATTCAAGGAGTGAATAGAAAATTAAAAGTTGCAGTTGATGGGTAAAATCAAATTGGGATCGAGTTTTAGGAAATGCCTATGGAAAAGAGCGCATCAAAAACTCGAAGCTATTCAAAATTTCAGGACGTTTCTCGTAAAATAAGAATGCTTTAAACACGACATTTAGATTTTTTTGTGAATGCACAAAAAGACGCAATTAAACCATATGCATGTACTTATAGCTTCGTGCGAAAACGACTTCAGATTTTAAATAGCTTCTGATGATGCACTCTTACGATCTGAACAACTTTTAAGATACCTCTATAATTCTCTTACATTTAATCCTTATCTAAGGACGCAGTTCACTTTTGACTATGTTTAAAAGAGGGAAGTTTGAGAAGCACGTTCCTAACTTTGTGGCCGTTTTACTTCTCATGTCTAAACATATCAATTAAAACTTTGGCGATCACTCGCATTTTTAAAAATGTTTGCACGTTTTTGGAGAATAGAGTATTATCTTGTGTTACAACAATACTTTTAAAGAAATTTCTCTCAATCCACGCACCATTTCGTAAGTTTCTGTTTTAACAACAATAATAGTAATTACAAAATGCCGTTCCTGGGCTTTTTCATTTCCATAATATAGAAACGTCTTGCAAAAGTGCTATCAAATTCATCCGAAATTTTCTGCAAAATCGAAGTTACTTTGAAACTTTACACTACTGCTAATGAAATTCGTAGAACTACGGTAACTCAGATAAAATCTGAATAGCAATTATTTTTTCGTGAAGTGCGTCATATTTTTATAGTGTGTTGTGACAAAATGTTCTTCAACAATGATATTTATCCTAATATTAAGATTTTTTATATACAATTCGCCTCAATTAACCAACATTGAGAGCCTTCTATAACCCAGCTGGCGGCATTACAGTTTTGGGAAAAAAATTTCCAAAACTGTCCAGTGGGTTATATTAAACCTGACCTTAATTACGAAGACAATGTCAAGACGTAAGTTAGTAGCGTTAAGTGCATGATTTTTGGTTAATTAAACCTAAATATAGATTTTTTACTTTTATATAATTTAACAATTAGATTTAAAATAATTTTTGACTGTTAAAACTATTATTTTTATACAGGTTATTCCAATTTCTCTCAATTATGACTGCATTTTCTCCATGAAAGTTTAAATTAATATACTAACAGTAACCGCATGGTTATTAAGAAGCCATTTAGTTTATATATTACACCAAGCATTGATTATTCTAATTATTAGTATTAGTATAGTTTTCATATAATTAACGTGTTTGTTTTATTATTTAATGTTAATAATCCATGTATATACTAATATACATTAATACAAGTAAGTTGAAGGCAGGGGTATATTTCACAATAAATTAAAACAAGGGTTTGAGTATCGAAAATATACCCATTCTTGTAATTTAGGCACTCTTTGGACCATAAATGAAACTAAATGAAATATATCTGAAATGAAGGAATGAAAGAACCACAGTTGTCTGTTTAGACTAGAATCTTGTACATAGGCTACCTTGGCCGTTTTGTCTACGCTTTAGTTGGATAAAGCCATGTGATCATGCACATACATGTATAATTCACCAGTGAATTGAAAATAGCACTTTACTCTAGTTATAGTATTGCAAATCGGAAGCTGGGTGTCGTTAAAGAATTACGTAATACAATGTTATTACAAGGAATTTGAACAAAACCTTGACTTTTTAATCCAGTTTGTCTTCAGCGCTGGCAGGCACTGCACATAAGTAAAAGATATAGCCATGCTAAACGCTAAATGGCACAAAATTAGCAGCTAAAAAAATATACTATACCACATACAAGACAATTAATATAAACTGCCATGGACACCAGGCAGATAAACAGAGAAGAGGAAGCCTTGTGTGTGTTTGCAAAAGATATTCTTAATCACACTTCCGTTTTGCCAGTTTAGCTTAAATCACGAAAAAAGACCTCAAACGAATTTATACTATGCATCATTGAAATATTTTGTAATTATTTTGAAACCACAAACCGAATTCCAGAGTTTAGAAAAAATGCAAGCACGAAGTTTTTTAAAGCTGGATGTAACTTTATACAAACAACCATCTGGTTTAGTCACAAACAAGTAATATATGCAGTAAAAACTTGGAAGATTCATGCATAAGAATATCACATGCAAACGATCGTAAAAAGGCACAGTTTGTTGAGTATGTGTATGTATTTATGTAGTAAAGCAACCCAGTTTACGTCGTTAGTAAATACAGTACGGTGCAAATTGAACTGCAACTTATAAATATTTGAATGCTGCAAGTTATAAAACGAGAATGAAATGAAGTAGTGCAAATGTTCACAGTGAAAATGGATGCATAACTGTGTGCAGTGTACAAGTATAGTCAGTTATTTATAAACTGAAAACCAACAATATGGCAAAGACTATAATTTTGGACTTTTGCAAGTAGAAAAATCTATGTTTGTTATACATTGAGCAAAAATATATACATACATTTTTACAAGAAACATGTGTTACCGCTAGTAGGACTCAGGGTTCGAATTAGTCAGGAAAAATCGATTCGCAAATTTCCTTCTTGAAAATTTGAAGGAAATTACAGTTTTGAAAAGTGGAAACACTGCTTGCGAAAAACAAAATGGCGTCGTTTCGTAGCGAATTTTGTAAATTTTCTGATGAAATTGAATTGTAGCCATATTCTTCATTTCACACATCCTTTTAGTACAAAATTACAATAATAATCTGCAGAATATTCCATATCTTACATTATAGTAAAATACATTTGAAGTGATTGTGAAAATAACCTTTAACACATTGTTTTTGCAAAAAGTCATTCGCAAATTGGATGATTTTGCGTTCGCAAAAATGCGAGGGCCACTAATTCGAACCCTGTAGGTAATGTTACTAATAAAGTGTTGGTTTTTTTTTTGTTACTTTGATGCTCTTTGAAAAACTCACTTGTGCATGTTTTATCCAAATTGCACTCGAAATCATCCTATTACCTATACTTTGAGTGTCAATGTATTAAATCATGTACATGTGATATGCCTAAAAAGTATTGTATGACAGCCGTCTGGAAGACAAAAGGTAGAAAAAAAGATAAAGACAGAAAACACCATATAACAAATATATAACACATAGAAACTCATAACATTTAGTGAAAAACCTTTTGCTGAAACAAAGCAATCTTTAGCCAGAATGCATGCTGCAGTGACTATGTTTGTAAATTCTCAACAGACCTAACAACCATGCAATAAGTTGAAAATTTTAATTATTTTATTCAAAAGTTTCATCATTTTGAGTGGGGACAGTCTAGCCTTAATATAACACACCTTTCTTGTATATACTGCATAACATTTGTATTTGGTTTTAAATGTTCAGAGTTGTCTACATATATAAAGAATTGTCAGACAAATGTTTTACCACGAAAATTGTGTAGCATTTATAGCACATTGAAACAACAATTACTCTATAATATTTGTGTACTGTTGTGCAGCATCTTGTACTAAGCAGACTAAATACAATGGCTTGAATAGCAGCAGGAAGTCAAGTGGCAATATAATATTGATGTGACAACACAGTATCATCACAGAAACACACCTTATAGCATGCAGAATGTTGCTCATTCGCCCACAACAGAAGTCTTAGCTCAGTCAAACTTCTAATAAACAAACAGGATATCCAATTAACATGGGCTGATATCTAGTGAGATGTAGTTGCACCACGTTCTTATGCTAGCTCCAGTAGTGTTTAAGACATGTAAATGTCTTAAACACTACTGGAGCTAGCATAAGAATTGTGTTATTGTAAGGAAAGACTGATAAACACCTCATTCATTGAAATGTTCTTTCATTGCAAGTATAAGCAGGAACATATAATTTTGCACTGAAATTTATAAACGTCATACCACACATTTTTAACTCTTAAAGCTAGTTTCCATTCCAAAAATGGCAGGAAGAATGCTGGTATGGGAAATACAATTCGCCAAAAATTTGTTCACTTTAGTTTCAACAAAAGGTTTGAAAGAAACAAAATTATGTAAAATGTACATACCATTTGGCAATTCTCCATAAAATCGTACTTGGAACCCTAGGAAAACGAAAATGAAGTTGACTCCAAATTATCATTTCACAGAACTTTATCAAATAGCAAACAAAACTGAGGCAGCTAGTACATTTTCCGTACAGCAGGTCCATTTTCCACTAGGCAAATTTGTTTGCACAAAGGGAAAAACAAATCTTGGCAATGTGATTGGTCAGCAAAAATATTCGCCATGAAAAATTTGGACCAGTTCCTACTTCCTATACTAACAAAGCTCGATTACATTAATTTTAAATATTCTTTAATTTAACAAGTTTACCTTTTAGGAATTTCTTCCCAATAATGCCAATTTCTTCACCACCAGTCACATAACCTTTAACAGGTCTCATCCACCAGATTTCTGGATTTCCTGGTGGAGCAGCTATATAAAACATTTGCAATTAATTAATAAAAGCAAATATAAAATATCATCACATTTATACATTATACCATATTCTAGCTCATCTTTTTCATTTTTTTCCCCTGCAGGCAATCACAACCTGTACAGTATTTTGAAAATTTTACTGCATTAATACATAAAGTGTAACTTACTACATTGAAACACTTTTGACTTGCAAGTGATAGTCTGACTGGGAGAGCCAGGTATTTCTGCAGTCATGACAAAACAGGCTTCTTTTCTTTCAGACTTCCAGTCAGCTGGATTTAACCCCCTTCTTCTTAATTCTTTGTCTGCCTCAAAATTCCTTCTTCTCTTCAAACTGATGCAGTCCAAGCTGCAAAAATACATGCATCAATGTTTTCAATTGTCGTCGAGTCACTCTATTGAGCATGCAAACTAACATTCACCTCAAAGTAGAGCTGCTCCCGATTAATCGATTATTTTTCCACAATCAATTATACTTAACAGTAATCGGATCATCTATAACACCACACAGCATGATGTGGGATTGAGTTAATTTCTTTCCAGATTAAAAAAATTGCAACAAGATTGTGATTGAAACATGAAATGACAAATTGATTCAAAATATTGTGGGTCAAATATCAATTTCACTCGCAGCATGCAAAGTTTACCATAGTCTGATCGGGTTACCAGTGCCGCGAAAATATCTTTAAAGTTTTATTAGAATAATTTATTACCATTTGCATCCAACAATGCGGCGTGCAGACATAAACCAATTTATCATCATAAGAGTCTCGCACATTTGCTCAGGAGTGTCAAAGGTAAACAACTAAAGTAAACATCCTAAATATTCTTTCTGTCTTTTCACGCATATGTCTCTTATGTGAAGTGTAAGAGCGCGAGAACATGCGCAATCTATAATTGTGATTAACGTTCATTTTAAACGGAGATTTAAAATGTTTATACTGACTGGTGAAACACAAAAAAATTTAGTAAAGTGTATTACAATTTAGAAACCTGTCAAACCACCATGGGCTTTTCATCTTTAAATTAATTATCCAGGGCTTTCCTCTGCGATCGCACGCCCACACAAATCTGGGCGCGTGATTTATCGCGCACGCAAATTTGATTTTTGAGGATAATCGCGCGTTATATTACAATTTTGACCCACAGTGAATTAAGATATCATGTAACAAAACCCACGTTCATTTGACAGTTTAGAGAGCGCAATATTATCGGTATTCTTTCAAAGTTAGGGTGTTTATAATTGAGGATGGCCACCAAAGGCAATAAAGTCGATCTGGCAACTTTTATGAAGTGGGGGAAAATGGTGTTATTGGCTAGAAGACGATCAACGATGGGCAAAGCGTGTGTTAATTTTGTTTGGTGCAAAGTTTGTCAGCGCAATGAAAATGCTTTATTTCAGCATCCAAACTGCAAAGGGCCTGTTAAGAAGTCAGTCAAATCGTATATTGAGGGAACAAGCTTTGTGAGCAAGCAGTCAATCGGCATCTGGAGAGCAAAGGAAAGCATGTGGCCTGCGAGTGAAAGAGTAAAACTTTTTGATAAAAATTATAAATAGATCTGACATTTATTTTTTATTGTTATTAGTGACTATTGACATTATACTTTCTTCAAGAATACAAATTTAGCGGTTCGCACCTTCAATTTACATAGCATTTCATGCTCAAGGTTTTTTTTAAGGAAAGAGCTCTAATGCTACTGTATTACTATAGTCGTTTAATTAATTTGCAAACTCTGAACCTGAATTTTGCCGCGTACTTTCATCTGATTCTAATTTTATAACTTTACTTATAGTTATTCATAAGTGAAATTCTATTAATAGAGCCTTAAAGTAAGTTTAAATTAAGTACAAACAAGAGGTACAGTAAGTAACTAAGCTTGTTGGTATGTATCCTTCCAGAAACATTGAAATCATGTATAAATTTTATCACGAGCATTTGTGCTTTTTCCTTCAATTTCTTATGTTGTAACGTTCTCAAAAGTTGAGTTATACACATTCCGCTTTATTAAGTCAATAGTTGCATGCTAACATACGTGTAAAACTGCATTGGCATGTCCTGCTTGACGTGTTATTGTTTTGTCTAGGTCAATCTGTGTATAAAATAAACGATTAATCGCGCCTGCAGTTTGATTTGCCCACGCGTGCAATTTTCTGAGTTGGAAAACCCTGATTTATATCAATACGATTGATAACTCTATTGTTGACAACGATTAATTGATTAAGAAAGTTAACCGATGGGAACAGCTCTACCTCAAAGTACCACTTTGTTGTACATACTCAGGAAAGGCCTGCATGTGCATGTACATGTAAACATGAAAAAGACAGCTTGGATTTATGCTGTATAGGAATTAGGCCTGCTTGCCTAGTGAGATCTTGTTTTGCTTTGATGAGAGATTTGTAATTTCTTCAGTTAACACAAAAAAGTGTTTGCTGTAAGGGAAGCCTCACATATCGATTTTTCCCACGAGAAACGTCATATGTTCGTTTTGCCAGCCGTGACGTATCCTTGTAAATATCATGGGAAAAATTCGATAGTTTTATCTTTGCAGAATATAAAAAGAAAAACACTCTGATACAAACAGTGCAGTCTATATATTCGTAATAACCATACCCAATTTATACCTATACATTTATATTATTACTCTTCCTGTACTTGAAAACACTCAAATAAAAAAAAAAAAAAAACCAAAAAAAAAACGCGCTAAAATTATCAATATTTCATGCAAAAAAGTTGTTTTGAGAAACGTTGGAAATTTTGAAGTTCATACTTCAGTATTAATAAAAAAGAGTATGTCACTTGTCAGCAGAAGATGACATATTCCTCGCGGAAGCATTGCCAATAGCCGATCGAAAAAAATAGTAGAAAATTACCTTGTGTGTACTATAAGAACAAAATATCAATAATTATGTGTGACGTTTCTAAGGGGGGTGGGGGGTCTCCAGAGAAACGAACATATGACGTTTCTCGTGGACAAAATCGATATGTGAAACTTCCCTAAAATATTAGCAATACACTGAAGGCTGCTTTCCAGTTAAGCATTTTTCATAAGTACTCAGGATTCAAATTAATTCTGTCGAAATAGTTCGTGATTTTTACATTATTACGAACACTCCTATAAAGGCAGTTTTTGTAATTACTATAAACGTCATTTCTTTATGATTTTGATGTGTTTATTATGGTTGATAAACAAAACATACCAATACTAACAATTAATAAATAGAAAACAAGTAAAAACGTTTCATACTTTTTTAAACTTTTACATGTGCATACAGCAACTGGAAAACAGCCTTAAATCCAAAAGTTATTTAGTTGTCCACTTACACAGCTCTCATATCAGTTTCAGGGCCTACTAAAACTTGAATAGCTGTCACACCATCTGGTAGGGTTGTATCACGACAAGGTAACTTGGTAGATCCTGGACCACACAACAGATGGAAATGTGGTGTACCATTACTTGTGGCAAGATATACAGTGACCCACAATGGTGCATTATATCCCTTTATCTGTTTATAAATATATAAATTCACTTTTAATGTTACCATATAGTATATAGAATGCATATAAAATATACAATAAACAACAATCTAATTATTCTACAACAAATTTCACAACATGTCATTTGGCATTAAACAGAGTACTGTAAAATCACAAAAGTAGCACAACGCATACCCCAAAAAGCAAACCATGAAATAGTGGCAAATTTGAGACATTTAAAAGTCCATATACAGTGAGGTTTTAGATAGATAGATACTTTATTGCGTGTTCCCCTAAGGGCTTTTCAACACATTACATATTAAAATTACTATAAATTACTTCTAAAACTACCTATGTTACATGGCAAAATGTGCTGGTAAAATGTGCTGTTTTAAATTTCTAGAGAATATATATATATATATTGAAACTTGACATATATATATATATATATATATATATATATATATATATATATATATATATATATATATATATATATATATATATATATATATATATATATATATATATATATATATATATATATGTGTCAAGTTTCAACTATCAAGATACCAAGAGACCAGTGAAATTATAACTTCACTTATCTTCAAGAGACTATAAGTCGCTTGCATTTCATTGTAGTGCTGTGTAAAGATATTTATACAATGAATTAAATGGTGGTATTTCCATAGCTTTTATTAAACCAGAGATGACCCTGCAAAGGCATTGTTCCTCAGGGAACAATATTTACTGGCACTATCTGGAATGAGTTAAATGTGATAAATAGAGACAAAAAAGACCATTACACAGTATTTCCCAATAAGACGAGTAGCATCGCCCCAACAGCTAAAGTAAAGCCTAAGGGGGTCTGATACTTTCTTAACTCTACTGTAAACTTATAAGGGTCAATACAATAATATCACTAAAGTTATGTGACATATTCATCAAAGAAAATGGTAATTGAAAAAAATGGGAAACATAAATAATTACCTGAAATGTTGGGAATGTGAGGTCAGATGAGCCATGAACAGGTCCACGACAACCTTCACTTTCATATCGGGCTCTGTAATTCTAAAAAAATGTGAAAATATTACCAATTCAAGAGAAAACAAGCACAATGCTAATACATACAATGGAATAAGTTCACTGAACTCTTACTGAGAGAGAATTAAAGCTTTTTATACCTTGTACCTTTTATTCAGTTTGTTTCCTTACTGTACCCCAATCGCCAGGTTAAAAAATGTAATTGGACCATTTCCTAATTACCTTCAAACCTTCATGGCAGCAACGTAAACCAATATTTTCACTATAGTAGTACAATTCAGTATTTTTATAAATTTGTTGAAGAAACATTTTTAGACAAATAAAATATTGTCACACCAGTGTTTCAAGGACAGAATTCACAATCTAGATTTTGTAGTCTCATGATGGTCTAGTCAAAATCAGAAAAGCAGTTGGATTCTTTGTTGATAGCAATACTAGTATTTCAAGCAAAGTTCTACTACAGTACAGCAATGAAAGATTACAATATGGCTATTAGTTCAAAACTTGAGTCGTTGCAGTAAATTAACCGTTTATTATTAATAGTACGATTTAATATATAACAGCCTACTAAAGCTGAATTATTACATAAAATTTACATGAATGTATATACAATGAATTGTACAGCAAATAAATTTATGAACAATTATATAAATTGGGTCATTCCAGAATACATCCACACCTGCTCCACAGAGGGAATTGGAGGAACTTAATCACACCCGCCCTATCATTTTTTTAATTGAGGAACTTAACCCCCTAAGTACAGGGCTTCAAATTTGAATTTTTCAGCAGTATCCAATGGGATCATAGCAATTTAAAATCTGGTATCCACCCAGAAAATCTAGTATCCCACATTTATAAAACATCTTTTCGTTCATGATTGACTTGTTCATCAGTTAATATTTGCTGTGTCTCAGTAGATTTTTTTGTTCACTCAGTTTGTATAATGTATCTTAACATTTTGCCAACATGTTTTGAAAATGAGTGTGTGAAGATGAGCTATTTCAACTGACAGCGTGAAACGTGTCGTATTATGCGTTAATATGGTAATTAACTTCAGCCAATTACTTTAAGGCTAGTTTAATAGCCACACACAGATTGACTGGGTTGAAGATAATTATATTCATGAAGATAAATGCTTCTTATTTTGAATTTTAAAGCATGTCTTCTCTGCATGCTAGCAACAGTATTGTCGAGAAATATCAGTTGTGGACAGAATTTTTTCAGTATCCTTTGGGATACTGAGCTTGTGATTTCCAGTATCCAAATATAAAATCTGGTATCACCGGGAGGATACTCAAATTTGAAGCCCTGGTAAGTCCCCCTTATGGAGGAAACATTTTGCCCATATATATGGGGTATGTGGAGCATTTCTGGAATGACCCATTCTGAACTATTTTTACATACATCTATTACCATTTTGTATGTACAAAAATACTTACAGTCGTAAAAAGTAAAAATTATTACTAATACAAATATCCTGTTATTGCTAAGCACAAAGTTAGCACAAACCTGTTCAGGCTGTTCAACCATGATTATAGAAGGTTTGACTGGAGCAGGGGTTTTCAAAACTGTTTTCAGTTCTTTGCGAGGAGTTTCATCACTGCTTGAACTAGCTGGCCTTTTTATACCCTGACGGGAGCGCTGTTCAACCACATTCTTTATACTGGCAAGAGAGGTCGGAGGAGAATTATCTTTCTTCAGTGAATTTGTAAGAAGGGTTGTCACAAGATTGGATATCAAAGAACGTTCTCCAGCTGTTTTGGCAGCAACAAGCAGCTCAAGTAATTTCTTAACAGTTTTCTCAACTGGTAGAGAGGGGCTTGATTTCGGCTGAACTTGTTCAGGCTCACTATTATCTGTAAACGTCTCAATATAAGGAAACCTATCTTCATGTGAGATAGATGAGGATGGAGAGCTTGGACTTGATGACAAAGGTGATGTAGCCACACCAGAATCAACACTGAATGGACTATCAATGTTGGGAAAACAAAGCAGATCATGCTCAACTGAAACAAAAATAAAAGTTCAATTACCGGTGTGTTGTTGCAATTATTCCACTATCATGCAAATGACATATTTAGACTTACAGTATAATAAAAGATAACATTCAAATGTGTACAACCCATTTTAAATTTAAGACATTAATTGCCCACAGACTACAACACACTAGTACACAACAGTATCTTACTCTGACTACTGATGAAAATCTTTATGAAGAAATTACTCTTCATAAAGACTTTCATCAGTAGTTGAGGTAGCAATTTAGTTTCTTGTCTTCAAAAAAAGATATACAAACCAATAATCTGTTGCTGCCACAAGAAAGAAAGTTGCATGTATATTTCTCAAAGCTGATTAATAGCATCATATTTGATTGTACCATCAAGCATGCACGCCTGAAACGCACCCAAAAACTGTGTGTGCACATGCATTTTATACACACAGGTCTTTTTGTCAAGATCAAAGTAAAATTTTACGGACATGTTGATTTATTTTATGGATGAATTGCTTTTCCTCTGAACCATAAATATTTCTGTTATTAATTAATATATTAAAAGACATGTGTTGTTGACTTTTGTTTGAGCAGTAACAAGTGCCACGGGTCACAGAGGAGCACTAATAGTCAAGTGCCTTTGTTTGCATTATGGCAAAGCCTGTAAGATCTATGTATAAGCAGAAACACTGAAAGACTTAATTCAACTAGCTGCATCTAATCATATAAAGTATGTTGTGAAATCACATGACAACAGTTTCAGCTGTCACTTCCATTAAATATGGCAATAATTTTCAACTCTTGGTCTTCCAACTCTGTAATACAAGTCTCAGAGATGCAATGTACTAAATATCATTCTCACTGAATGTAACTCTCTTTCAGCCTTGTGTTCTCCAAGGCAAATCATTCCACAAGTCCATGTACATATATATGATAATGCAAAAAAGCATCAAAATACCCTTGAAAGTTGCAATCTAAAATATACTTCTAAATTTAATTAATGTGCATCCCAGAAAATTTGAGAGAATAGGACAGAGCTACATGTTCCCAGGTGCTCCAGAGAATAAATACATGATTTACATTAACTTTACCCTGAAGTAAAAGACTGCTCTGGTACAAGAATTTCTTGTAAGTTTTTATTATTATGTAACAACAGGAAAAGGCTATATTGTATTTTACTGCATACCTTCATCAGTTCTAACATTGAAAACAACACAAAATATTGTTTTACTTACAACCAAAATTCCAACGTTCCTAAAAATTCCAAGTACTAAATTGCCAATTGGAAGTCTGAAAATCTCGTACACTTTTTCGGGAGAGATTTCTCACAGTGTCAGTAATTTGACCCCTTCGTCTTATCCTCATACCTGGCATGTTCGCATTTAGGATCATAGAGAAGTGGGGTATGTGTAAAAACACAAGCCACGCTTTCCAACGCAGCAAATATGCTCTAGTATGGAATGTACTATTCTGTACAAGCAGTTTTGCCAAATATTGAACACACCTAGCTACAGGTAAATTATTCATTCACATTCAAAATAATTAATAGTTATATTTATGCACCAATCAATGTTATGCCCGACCCTAGGGAGGGCAGGGATACACTGGGAATTGACCTGATTACCCTGCTTCTGGGTTGGGGATTTTATTTTATTTGACATCAAGGAAGCTCCCCAAAGTCGGGCATTTTGACATTTTTGTTACCAGTCTTGTATCATTTTCACGAGCACGGCCGACATCATGGCGTGTTTCAGGAACAGGCCTTAAAATATCTTTTCCAAGGCCGTCTGACAAAATGTCCGGTGACGTTGAGTATGGGTCGGACATATGTCCGATGACTTTCAGTTCAGTTTTGACTTGGAAATAAATCTGACTGACACAAATGAATAAACGGTAAATGTTGTAAAGATATTAAATAATTTCTTTCATACTTATTTCCAAGCCAAAATTAACTCACTTGCCAGAACAGCAGTGTTAAAAAAGACTTCGACAACTTAAGCCCATTTTCCACTTCACCATTTCGCTCGCCACCCCGCGCTCGACTACGTTAAAACAACATTTCCAGTACACCTTTTATACAATAGTACGTCGGACAAAGCTACAGTTCGGTCGGACACCGATTCACTTGGGTCGGACAAACAATAAACCTCAGTTTCACTTTGGTCGGACAGAATGTCCGGTGGTTTCCTCTCTACGTCGGACAATTTCACGAATGGGTCGGACATGTCCATGACCGACCGATATTTTAAGGCCTGCAGGAAAATTGCAAGGTGAATTCATGAATAGTATCACTTCATTTGTGGCTTTTAAAATAAAATCTTGTTAACTTTTGTCTTTTTAATAGACTAGGAAATAAATAAGGAGAAAATGGTTACAATTGAATCCAAGAGCGACAAGAAATTTCCGCATTTATATCGAGTTATATCAACACGGCTCTTAGCCAATTTATAGCATTCAGAATTTACAAATGCTATATTATAAATATAAATAAATTTTTTGAGCAGATTATAACATCTTTGTAGTTTTCCTCTAACTCAAAGTTCTTCTTCAAAGCTTCATAGTGGGGACTATTGACACAAAAAAATTGAAAATGTCAAATGCCCCTGGGTTTGCCCGCCCTCCCTAGGGTCAGGCATAACATTGATCGGTGCATTACTCCTAAGGTGTCAAGAAAATCAAAATTAACATCGCTATGCCTTAAAATAATCAAAAAATACTTGAAATATTTATAGCGTTTATAGAAACTAAATATAGTTTATAGCGTTTTTAGAAACTATGCTAAAATAATGACAAAACTTGCATAAGTTCCTAAAATGAAAAAAATATGGATTTATGAAGTGTTCGGCAATTTATTCATGATGCCGCACTGTGCGCCAGAAAATTTCTATGCCAGATGCCGCGAGAAAGCAGCGTTTCATAACGAATACGCATTCTCATATTGGCAGTCATATTTTACATTGTCGCCATAGTGCATTCAACAAGGCAGATATTTTTATTAAAAGTTTGAATATTTTAGTCAAACATTTAACACTTCTAGGCCCTTAGCCATTTTGGCTGCCTATGTTGCGATCTGAAACAATTTATATATTAGCACACAAATAATTAACAAAACAATCAAACATACCTATATTTTTATCAAAATATAGGCATGCATTTTAAAGAAACAAAATTGAGGATTCCATCGTCAATTTCATCAAAAAGACACTATAAATTCTACTCCATATACTAACATTTTTCAATTTTTTCGCTTCTTTTCGACGGACATGCTTCATACTTGCTGAGCGAGCAACGTTTCTGGAATTTCATGTTTCCGAACGTTTCTCGAGTAAAACATTGAACTAAATTACTAAAAGTCTTCCAATACAAACGACGTTACTGTGTTAGGGGTTCTTATTGTTCACTGTCTCAAAATATTACAAAATTCTGAAAATTGACACGAAATTTTAAAAGTTAAGTCCCTCATGCATTTAGACATGCACTTTCACCTACCTTCGTTTTGCGTGCTCACAGACTCACCAAAAGCGATTTGTTCACTCATGATATGTAGAAGAGTTTCTTAAATAGTTTATATATAAATTTCTTATTACGAATTCAACAAATTAAGCGAGAAATAGGTCTAAAACTGTACAAACACAGTAAGACTTCGACCAGCACCCACTAAAAATGATGTCAGTTTTACTAACTAGTGCCAGTTTTTTTGCTCGGTCAAAGCCTAAATTCGCGCCAAAAACTGGGAACGACAGTCCATATATGGTAATTCTCCCATCGTTCATAGCAAGCTTATGCATAAGTTAGTGTAGTCACAGAGGAAGTACATACATAGATCTCACTTCAGGTTAATTTCGCGTAAGGGATTTTTTTCAGACGTCCGCCATGTTCTTGGCAAGTGTCCTAAAGGGAGGCAGTCACCCCCTGAAAACATATTGAAAATTTAATATTCCAGGGGGGTGAATGCCTCTCTTTAGGGCACTTGCAGTTGCTAAGAACATGGCCGCCAGCTATTTCTATTATCATATATGATAATGTCAATAATATGTATGGAAATAAATAAATATATATCTTAATAACGCCCATACAGCAATTTACAGGATGAAAATATTATATCCAGATATTCTAACAAGAGTCAGCCTAAAATATGGAGAAACACAATAATTATAAGACCATGTCAAGTCCGTTCTGCGCAACAGTTAAGTTATTTCGGTACGGCTTGAATAACGAAAATATGTAGATTGTTCATGTAAAACGTAAGGTGCACTGCAAAACATGTATTGCCGTCTACGGTTGTAATAGTGACAGCTAACACACAAGTGAAATCTGTTTCTTCAATTTTCCAAAGGGCAAATCGGTAGATCAGCAATATACTAGGAGAAAAGCGTGGATTGAATTCTGTATAAGCGCAAAGCATTAATTAATTAAACTATCGTCGCGACGATGTGACTAGAATATATGCTCACTTCATTTTGCCGAAGACGCGTATGAACAAGGACAGTCGCAAAAGTTTTTAAAACGAATACAGTGCAATGAAACGTTTAGAATACAATTGAAAAGGGAAGCGTTGCCAAGTAATAACTTTACTTACAGTACATACTAGCTTCAATTGCGGTATACTATTTCTACAATGGATTGACATAAAAAGACACAAAACAGCGCACGCGGCACGCATTATACGCGTGCACCTAATATACAATATTTAACGGCATGCCGTCTACGTTCAATACACCGTTGAAAATAAAAGAAATCCATTAAATAAATGATTATAAGTAAACCACAAACCAAAGGTCCAAGACGCATGTAGAGGTCCTATATTTATACCTATCCCAAAATTAAAATATTGCTTGTTTTTCTCCTACTTCTGGTTCATATTGGTATGATAACACTTCTCCTACTTGGTTCTCGTGAATATTTTCATTTAAAATGACTCAAAAGCATTAATTTTTTGAGAAAACGTATTAAATCTCGATACACGCCATACAAAAATATATTGTTGTTTTGATTCTACCCTGCCATCTACGTCATACGGGTCATATTACCCAAAAGATAATTTTTCGCAAATACGAGCCAAGATGGCCGACGATATATAAATTAACAGTGAAATAACATGCATATAACTCCTGAACAAAAATGTTTGACATGGTATTAATATCATATTTATAGTTAAATGAAGCAACACTTTTAATATAGACAATAAAAAATTTTGTTGCCATTGTCCTTTAAAAGCTAAATGTGAACCCGGTTTTCCACCTGGCGAATATTTGGTCGAAGACTCGAAATGATACCGTATTTACTCGTTTAAGCGCCGCAGAGCTCTACTTTCGGCAATTCTGATTTTCACTAAATTCCAAAAATTGAAAATGGAATTTTGTATGAACTTTCAGGAATTCAGGATTTCACTTTTCTACTCCAGTTGATTAATTAAACACGAATTTCCCACCTTTTTTCATGTTATGAAATGTTCAGGGGCGTAGCCAAGGGGGGGCAAGGGGGGGGCGGTCGCCCCCCCAATCGCAAAAAAACTATTCTCTGAAAAAGGCTAAATCCGTAGAGAAATGGGGGGGGGGGGTTGTACACGTTACATCCTCGAAGCTGAAACGGATTAAGTACGTCTCGACTGAGGAAAACGACGAAATACTGGAAGAACTTGATTTCTAAATTCTCGTTAAAACAGTTGTAGATATGGTTCCAAGAGGAATAGATTTAGTTCAGATTTACATGTATATGCATTATGATAACATGAATATTCTTCTCAGACTTATTCTGTATCATATATAAAAGCGAGTAGAAACTTAGAAATGTCTGAGAAAATTTATGTCTTCGACGTACTTTATAATCTTCGGGATTCTGCAAGATTTCACCCCCAAAATGCTTGAAGTCACATTTCAGGGACTCTAAATTTTAAAATTTTCCCTTGGGTGCATGCCCCCGAACCCCCCCTAGAGCGTACTTTATAATCTTCGGAATTCTGCAAGATTTCACCCCCAAAATGCTTGAAATCACATTTCAGGGACTCTAAATTTCAAAATTTTCACGGGGGTGCATGCCCCCGGACCTCCATAGATGGTCTCGCGCCTTCGGCGTTCGCTTCGCCCCCCCAAAAATGAAGGTCTGGCTACGCCACTGGAAATGTTTTGAACAGGCTTTTTAGTAAAAATTACCCAAGTATTTTTCACCTTTTCATCACATGCTCGCTATCTCAATATTCCCACCTTTTTTGATGTTGTCTAGTTTTTCATGAAAACTGAAAAGTGGAAATCATACTTGTAACATCCGGGAGTTAGCACTTCCGGCGGGAAAAACGTGACCTCGAAGAGAACTAGACAGCTGTATTAAGGTCGGCACTAGATCATAGACAAGATACGCACATATCTGAAACTGCAATACATACGAGTCAGCGGTATTCCATATTTAAAATTCAAATAAATTAGTGCGCGAAATTGGAAAAAAACGCGCGAAACCAAAGCAATATGGCTTCCATCGAAGAGTATAGCGATAGTGACCGTGTGCTTGTTTGCGCTTCACAAGCAGAAATGCTTGAGAAATATTTGAAGATTACAAAATAAAAACAAGTAGTGGTTGGAGATGTATCAAATTAAACGCACTTTTTGGTACGTGAACTAATTTCAATATGTAAATTTGTCTTATAAATATTCATACGAATACCGTGTGTGAAATATTTATGAAAGATCCAAATTATGCATACATAAAACCTTTATCGATTTACTGCAGTACTATACTCATATAATAATATAGTATGTCTTTATAAAGGACGAAAGATGCATGTGCTTTAGAATATATAGTAAAACTCACTGGATAAAAACCTTTCATAAGGGACCACTCATTAATAATGGGAGGAGGGAGGGGGCGGGGGGCGGTGGGTGATAGATACCAAATAATAAACATTCTTTAGAGCCGCCCCAATCGCAAGACCTTTATTTTCAAGATGCCCCCACCTTCATTTAGAACATTTAGGACCCCCCTCCAACATTTAATTGTTACTTAGTTGGTGTAAAATAGGTAATGGGACAAGTACTGGTGTTACGATATTGTGTAGCCTAAATAATAAGAGGACCAGTATTCGAAATGGTTGTTATTTACTCTGACTCCTATCGTGAACTGTATATACGTAATAAACTATGGAAACTACGATTATAGGAACTAAAAAAGGTGGGATATTTTGTGGGATACGATAAAGGCAATAGATTGAAAATGAGTAGGAAAGTATTAAAAATTTGGGGTCACCCCTTGTCACATATTTTGAGGACACCCCCAATTCAGGAAAAAATAGTTGAAGCTGCCCCGCCCCCCTCTTCTCACTCACTGCCCCCCTCAGTGGCGTAACGCTCACTAGGTAGGATTAGTTCAAAAACTGAGGGCCCCCAACAGTTAGGGCCACCCATCAGCCACAGTCTATCACCCAGAAAATTAGACGGAAAACGTAAAAAATGCAGGTAATTACGAATCGATGGAAAAATACAAAATTAATAATGCTAAATAATAAATGCTCCATCGACGACGGTATTCCATCTCAAATAGAACAAAAGTTATTCTTAAAAGTTGTTACATGTGTTGGAGACTGTTATTATCATTGTTATAGACACAGAATTTTCCATATTCTACTGATAAATATTCAATTTAAATTTTAGATCTCAGTCAAACAATAACAGTCAACAGGGCCCCCACACCAAATATGCCTAAGGGCCCTTCTTTCTCCGTTACGCCACTGCCCCCCCCCCTCCCATTATTAATGACCGGTGGTCCCTAATCATTCATTATATACATTTCATACAATTTCATATTAATATATACATGACTGGCTTTTCAAGATACATCAATAAAACCCGAGAAACAGAAAGTCAGAAACAAGTGCTAACACTACAAATAAATGGTAGAAATACACAACAATGGAAAAAGGCTTTCATTCAATTATCTGCCAGTATGATATTCACATGCCTACTATATGATGTTAAAATGTATCATCTTAGGCCCTGTTTACATGAGCCATGCAGGCTAGCCTGCCTTGCCAGAATAGAAATTGTTATCATATGAGTCAGGATCTTGGCTAACCAAGACACTGAAGACAAGCCTGGCTAACTAGGCCAGCTTGAGTCATCTAATGTCCATTTTATGTACTATATATGCATAATCACTTTATAGTCTGCTATAGCACAACATATTTCAATAATTATTAACCCAATAATTATTAACCCAACAATTTATAACAATTATTTTATTAATTGACAACAATTATTTTATTAAAATATTGATTCTTTTAACAATTATTTTATTAATAACAATTATTTTATTAAAATATTGATTCTCTTCATTGCTGAAATCTAACATTGATCATGTGGCAGTCCCACTTTATGGTTTGTTGCAGGCAAAGAAGCATCCAACTAGCCTTTGACACCCTAGTCTGTTTTTAATGTTGTTAATATTAACTCATTAACTGGAAATGTGAAAGTGCCCAAATGTGCCCTACTTAGTATTTACTCTGTCTAATGCCAGACGATTAATTACTCGTCGTCTGGATTGGCAGGCCGACTCGCCAACATTTTTGGAAAAAAGAGTGGCCCAAAAAAAATTTGCTGCAGGGCATCATCGGCTTTTGCAGGGGAATTCTAGCAGACACCCCTTAATTAAAATGGGTGGTGGTCAACTCCAAAGGGAAACACAGACACAGTTATTGGATTGAGTTCATTATTCATAATTCATTATATTAATTATTCACCTTGTATTCAATAATCAATAGCAAATACAGAACATTTAACAAAAATTTGCTCGCTTCCACAAGGCATATATAAAAGCGACAAACGTGCAAAGTTGACCAGCATGTGTTTTCCTATGAATATGTCACCAATATTTATTAAATACTATGCCTGTATGCCACATGTGGGCTATATTTTTCCCTTGGAAAATTCCCTTTAAAATGATTTTTAAATTAACCCCAAATAGGTAATAAAAGTAAATATATATTTCGATTTACACATACCTATTTATCGATATAACAATTTTTAAATCTCCATTTGTAATGATTTGTTTATTTGTAATGCATCATTTGTAATAATGATGTCTTTATTGCGTTTATATAAAGTTTACTGCTCTTGAAATACCGCTGACTCGTATGTATTGCAGTTTCAGATATGTGCGTATCTTGTCTATGATCTAGTGCCGACCTCTCTGGTCAGTCAAAAAAGTGTCCGCGAAAACATGGCGGATTTTCACGTTTGCTGACGCCATATGGTTCCTCCGGCTCATGGCAATTACCACTGACCAACCGCGATCCTAAGCATCCGACAAAGACCTTCGCTCCCCTGTTTTTGCACAAATATTTTATGTTTTCAAGACAAAATCATGCCGTTTTTCTCCACTTGTGGATGCAAAAATTCGCTGTGAAGACTTTAAAAGGAAGAATATTTCTTCTGAAAGGTAAGATTTGTGAAAATTTTAAGTTTTTACCTTTTATTCGACAAATTTTCGATTGGCAAAGTCAGGGGCCGATATGCGTATAAAATCGAGGTATAAATATGTATTTGTCAAACACTTATATTTTATATTTACACCAATATTTCTGGAGCAGACATAAAAAACGTTGTACATGGTTATTTATACATTGTGTACATACATTTTCTTTCTAGTTTCAGGCACTGGCTTTTGTTTTTAGTGCCAGTTTATTAGTTTAAAGTCTTTAAACAGCATGCTGCTCATGCAATCTGTAGTTTGCTTTGTTTCATAAAGAGCAGTTAGCACTAGATTTATATACAGTATAAACAAGCTGTATTGTATCCTTCACAAATATTATAAACTGCTAGTCTTGCTAGGTTTTGTATCAGCATTTACCAATTGGCTGTAATTTAGGCTTTTTTTGTGGGGTTGTGCACTACATTTCAGTTCAGCATCGAGCTATCATCGACTTGTGCATACCCAAATTTGCATGATTTATACTTATATCATTCTTGCATTGGCATTACCTTGAATGCTAGTATGGGTCAACCTGACAACCTCTATGCCTCATAAAAATCTCCAAACAAAAAACCTCCTTCACTCAGAAAATACCTCTGTCATGGGAGTCTTGATTTATGTTTAGCCATATTTATTTAGGTCCCTTAGAGGTTAACCCATTGAGTCACATTGCACCCTACTTTATTATTGTACTCTGTCTGATGCCAGATGATTTTACTCATCAAGTAGAGAGTGCTGGTGCTTAATGGTTAATAACTAGCCTACGTGTCTAGTTATGAATCGCATTGCACCCTGATGCGCCCTTTACTCTGTCTAACGCAAGATTAATTTACTCTGTCTAACACCAGATAATTTTACTCGTCAATTGGGGAGAGCGATTGCGCTTAATGGGTTAATTCAGATTTATACAAGATTAGTGGTGCACAAGAGCTAACAGTTCCAATCCAGCCACAGCTGTAACTTGCAAAGTAGGGGTGGTGGTCTCAGCTAACTGGCCAGAACCTACAGTATGCACCCATTGCAATTAATTTTGAAATGTATATGAAACAGTTTCACACCATAGAATAAAACAATCATAAACAAAGTAACTTTATTTCTCATTTCTATTACAGGCATCATAGTGATATGTAATTATACAAGAACTGAAGCAAAAATGTTCTTCCTGTAACAGATGTATTGTATCATGATAGTTAACATTGATGTATATGATCTTATTTGGGTGTAACAATGTGTAGTAATACAGTATCTGTAGTAGTAATCTGTTATCGCCACCAAAAGAAAATTGAAAAGAGATAAACATGCCAAACAGCCAAAGTGATGTCACAGCTCATGGGACTACAAAGTGATAATTATACTAGAATAACTTGATTATACAGTTAGTTCAAACTGATTGGGTCATTCAAAGAAATATCCACACCCCTAATGGAAGAGATGGGAGGTTCAGCTTCCTCCCACTTTTGGACACCCTTAGCTAATACTTTTACTATTATCAGCAGTTGAGTTCTGCCCACTTCAGACAGCACTTCAGACATATCTGTGGAGTTAGTGTTTATCTTTTCTGGAATGACTCATTGGTGATTGGTAGTTAATAATTATTCATTGAAGAATTTAAATTAAAATAATACAATTTCAACTGCATCATTGTGGTGGTAAATAATTCTGCAATAAACAAGAATAGATTATATAAGTTACTCTAAAAGAGAAAAAGCATGAAAAATCATATCAAGGGAAAATGAGGAATACAAAAGAAATATACTAGGTTTTCAGACGATGGTCGAACTTTGTTGGCAAGTCGAGTGACCCCTTAAAAATACATTGTTTTTTCAGAATTATATTTATCAAGAAACTATTAGAAGTTACAGAAACCATAATCCTATGTGTATGTACACCAAAAGCTAAAAAAATATGAACAAATATAAAGGCCCCAAGCTCTTCAGCTGAAACGTTGAGGTTTATTTGTCTTAGTCTTAGCTACAGTGGTTGCATCATCCTGCACTAACTAGAACCCCCACCCAAGAACTACAATCATAGTGATTCAAAACTCCTTAAGGTACTCCGACAGCAGAATGAGCTTCCTTGAGTACCTCTAGCTTTTGCATATAAAGTTAGTACAAAATATAAAATACTATAAAGTCTCTTTGTTATTCCCTCAAAATATAGTGGTAAGTACTAGCTGGTAGCACATTATACTGTACTTTCATGTAATCATGTCATTATAAAATCAGTCCCCAGGGTCAAATTAAGATAATTTGATATTTGTAAAATGCACAGTTTCGTGCCACCTACAGAAAATTTTCAAAATAGTATCATGAAATACAAACTGCACAGCAGGCTTATTCAAAACATCATAAAATATGCAACAAATAGAGCATGTAAACAAATAAACAATAGATCAAAATACCATTTTGCACACGATTTAAATGAAACGAAAGTTGATTACTTTGTACAACAAGGCTTTACGAGACCTTTACATACTTGTGGCTAAAATATAATACATTGTACCACAGTTAAACCCAACAATTTTTGTAGAAAATTTGCTCGAGTGTGACTCAGTGTGTGAAGTTATGAACTGAGAAATATTTTACCTGTAGTTGCGACTTCAAATATCGTCTTTGCGGATGTATTTCGAGGTTTTCTGTCTTTTGAGGACGAGAATATAATGTGTACAACTTACACACATTTGAACCAGTGGTCAAAGGTACAAAAAATATGAAAAAAATCAAAACTACGAGAATATACTGCAAATACTTCAACAAGCAAAAATATTTTAATAAGAACCAGGGGGGTGTGAAAGTCGTAGCGGGCTCAAAATTGAGCCTGGTCAGTGGTAATTACCATGAGCCGGAGGAACCATATGGCCACAAAATAAATAATAAGACCAGAAGTCTCACTCGATGTCGGAATCTTTGATGTTGATGTCCCCGCGCATGTCGGCTCGCGCATCTTGGCCGCGTCTCGTTTCCAGTGCCCTAAACAAGTGTAATTTGACAAATTTACATGTAAACATTAAGGAGTGAGGAAGTTAAAACGATACCAATCGAGTTTTAGAGCTTTGGTGACCATTTTAAAAGAATATATGATAAATTCAAAGGTAAGTCTATCGTATTGCATTGTCTTAAATGAATTCTCAGCTAAAATACGGCAATAAATGGATCATAAATTTAGTTAAATTCACTGTTGACAACGAGGTTGACAGATCCAATGATTTTTTCCTTGAATAGCTTTACCATAGTCATTTTACCTTAAAATGTGGCTACCGAGGATATCTCTAAGAGATTTTACACAGATTATTTGCACAATCTCACGATTTAATCATGCTGATAACATGAAAATCCTTGTGCCATTGTATACTTGGCATAATCTCCACATCAATAGTTCACCAGTTCAACACTTATAAGTTATAAATTCAATATATTTTTGAACCAGTCCATATATTATTATACACAATGTAGTATAGTTAATTTGACCATTGAGAAGTAAGGGTGTATTACATTACACAGACACTGCTGAATTTTAGGTTACATGCCATTGGATTGATATATAAAAACATTTGTAAAAACACACATTATCTTGTTGATAGAATAGTTATTTGCAGTATACTAACTGTTGGCATACTCCATTTCAGGCCTATCAATTGTTTTTGTCACTGGCAATCTTTGAAATACAATCTTGCTCTGTGGCCTTTACTGACAAGTTGGCTTTTACTACATATGTGGCACTGACACCTCTTTAATTAATGCACCAGTCAATGTAAACCCCCAACCGGGGAGGGGCAGGGATTTTGACTTGGAGGGGTAGTAAAAGAGCAAAATTGTCCCGCCCCCAGGGACATCAATGTCCCCTGCATGTCTCTCAACCGCGGGAAAATAGTTTTGTATAATCATAGATCAGCAATAGAAAATCAAATTCATTTATGTTGTTGTATTTAAACTTTTCTTGTCAAGAAAACTAAAACAGCAACACAGGATATATATTAATAAATTAACCACCGTCCAAGTCTCCCATCATCGGGGCAAATTTATAATCAAAACGGACCACTTTCCCACTAAACCTCCCGCCCCTCCCCGGTTGGGGGCAGGGTTTACATTGACTGGTACATAACTAGATGATTGCATGAAAGTTGATTTACGTATAATTAGTTTATGAATAAACTCGCACTTTCATTGTAGAGGTTAAGATTTGAGTTCTACTAGCACTATCTCTGACTGCCTTAGTATGCATCTGATTGGTTATAATGGTTGATCGAATATATCAAATGCATTTGATGGTCCTTAATGGTAATGGTAGTCAAATCTGAACCTCTATAATGTCAATGAAGAATGCATACTGGAAAAGTATCAAATTAAATTTTAATTGTCAATGTTGTGGAAAGTAAATAAATCAAACAATTCTGTTTGTTTCAACTAACTAGTTCACTATCACTTTGGTTTTCAAATCAAAGAATCTTTAGCCTGGTTGAGCTTTTGAAAAAGTAGCTACTTTAGTGAACGCAAGATTATTTTACTCTGTCTAACACCAGACAATTTCACTCGTCAAGGGGAAAGTGCTGCCACTCAGTGAACTCAATCAGAGCTCAATGAGCAGCAGCACTCTCCCTCGATAAGTAAAATCATCTGGCATTAGATGAAGTGAAATAAACTAGTAAAGTAGGGTGCATTGGGGCACAATGCAGCTTACTGGGTTAACTGGAAAATAAATTTATTTAAACAATACACACCCTATACTTGTATTTCAATTCATAGCATGATTTGGTATGCTTATGTCTATTTGACCCAAGTACCAGACAGGAATGATATTTGAATCACACCTGTATTCATTGAACAAAGCTAATTTAAATGTACATTAATTGTACATGAATCATGTAGATGTAAAAACTAGAGCAAAAACACACCCACACAGCTTTGTTTTTTTATTTTTCTTGAGAAGGAATAACTGAGTTACAATGAGACCAGTATCAACAATTTCAAAAAGGTATTGTACAAAAATATTACAAACATAAGACACTTTAATTAAAAACAGAAAACACACAAAGTATGTCACTACAGAAACTCTATTCTGTGATATAGACGATATTGCTTTAAGGAAACTTGCAGCTTTTAAGGACCTGTTTATATCGAAACTGGCTGGCCCGCTAAGTGAGACAGCCCGGTAAGTGAGATCTCGCTGTCTACTTATTTTTATAGTAAAAATTATAATTAAAATTGTTTCTATGTACAAGCGGGAGGCCCTGTTGCAGAGACCAGGATGGAAATTTCTCCATATAAACAATCACAAGCAGGCTAGCCCAGTTGCCAGGATGAAAGTTCAATGATACTGCCGCAAGCTATTTTTAACAACTGTCAAAACAATGTCAAAACAACAAAATTGTCCCGGTAAGCGGGATGAAATTTTCTCAAATAAACACAAGAGAAATCATCCTGCTTACCGGGCTATCTCGCTAAGCGGGCCAGCCCGGCTTCCATACAAACAGGCCCTAACAGTCTCTGTCAGGCAATTACAATGTTCTAATGTCCAAACTCTAAAGTATTATAAACAAGCAGGACAGACCACTTATTGCAAGTTGCTAGTATTAAAGTCATCAACATGTGATATCGACATTACAGTGTATAAACTAAAGTAATTCAGCTTCTACACATGAAGCAACTTTAAACACTATCCTTACACTTTATCAATTCATTGAAGTTTGTCATTCTATTTGTAGTATTACATCACAAGACATATTCTATTTGTAGTATCAAGTCACATCAGGATTTTATAATCTAGCGTTTTTGGACCCAAGTGATCTAGAGTTCTTTCTTGTTAAAACCTATCCAAGGAAAAACAAGAAAGGGATATTGAAGTAATGGTGTTTTTGAGCCAAATAAATTCGAATATCCACCAGTATAAAAGCAGTACTCCGTATATACTGGAGACAAAATGGCATCATAGCGAACACATTTTAATGATGCTCAAATATATATTTAGTGCGCTATTTTCTTTAAAATATTACCCTGTTTGCTTTCTAAATACAACAAAATTACTGCTTTACCTTCTGTTCAAATAGTTCCACAGATAAATCGAAGTCACATTTCGTACTACTTGAAAAAAAGCTGTTTTTACTGTAGGAATGACAACTTCCCAATATAATTTTCTATTGTCAACATTGCATTACACTTGTTTAGCTCGCGCATGCGCAATAAAAAAGATGGGACATGTTTCCGCTTGAGTAAGACTTCTGGTATTATCTCTTCTGTGATATGGCGTCATTCTGGCGTCAGCAAAGGCCGAAATCCGCCATGTTTTTGCGGACACTTTTTGATGCCGAGCACGTCCTCCAGTAATATAGTATAGCTCAGTGGTAAAAACGCGGACAAATATTTGCTCGAGTTACGCTTCTGGTATAACTTCCTATTCCGTGATTATGTGATTGATATGTTTGTAATATTTCGCCCAATCGCAACGAGGAATGATGACGTGTGCACACGCGTTTATCCAATCAGATTAAGGAAATATAGCGATAGCACACGTCAGCAAATTGGAATTTGGATTTTGGAAATCGGAACTTTTTTAAAAAAAATAAAACAGCGGCTTTTGCATTTTATAATAATCAGAGAATAGATACTATGGACTATAATCTCTCCTATGTGATTTAATATTGCCACCAATGACAATGATTAAATGAGAAAGTGAGGCCGGAAGTGTCCATTTCGTGCGATTTTATATCTCTTTACTAACACTTTCGGTTTGTTTCCCAACAACAGGCTTGTTGAAACTTGTTGTGACAGGACAAAAATTGTTTGTTGTGGACAGGTTTGTCGCAGGTCTGATAACAAGCTTGCTGCAGACTTGACAAAAACAACTCCCGACAGGTCTGTTGGAACAGGTTGTAACAGACCTGTTGATTTCAACAGACTTGCTGCAAGTTGTTCTATCAGACCTGTTATCTCTTGTTAGTAACAGGCTTGTAGCGGGTTGTTTCAACAAGTCGCTACGGCTCTGTTGTCAACAGCTTGCGACAGACCTGTTACCGCAAGCTGCCGCAAGCCTGTTACCGCCTGACGAAACCAACAGACCTGTCGCGACTTGTTGACAACTTGCCGCAAGCCGGTAAAATCAACAGCTTGCGACAGACCTGTGAGATTTCTGGCTGTGTAGAGTATAATAAATTATCAGGACACAACAATCAAGCTTTGCAAGAACATAAAATGAAATAAAAACCTAAATAAACTGTTTGTAAATAAAAAGAGGGCTCCTTTGTGCACATGCGCAGATCGGACTGTACCGCATCTGTAATATGCTGTATTTTGATACTAAAAGAGTTAGTGTTATATAAAACAAATCTAGGTATTTTCAAATAACGATAAATGAAAATTACATTTACATACTTAAAATTAACGATCACATAAATTAACATTAATTAAATTAACGCGAATTTTTAAAATCCGCGTTAATAAAGAGCATCGTTCATTTCCTAATTTCCTAATAAGATAATTCAATTAACATGTGGTACTTCATGCGAGAAAAATTAAAGCGGACTGCGACACACTGAGCTCAGCAATTACACTGGATAAAAAGACCTAATATTGTTAGCTTTGCTCGTATTTAAATTTTTTTTACAAGGTTGACGACACAAGGTTGTAACAACACTGTTATATCATGACTGTAACGGACGTGTTGGAACAACTTTGTAACAAGTCTGATAATATCAACAAGGTTGTTACAAGTTGTTAACGGCTTGTTCCAAACTTGTTGACAACTTGGGACAAGCAGTGCGAGTTACAACTTGTGCGTTTTTACGTGTGTAGATATAAAGCACTATAAAATATGCATATTATGCATGCCACGCGCAGTGTAGCTAGTATAGACTATTTATAAAACAACACCTCAGAAAATTACATGGTTGCCTCAGCGAGTTTAGCAATTCTCCAGTGTTTGGCAATACTCACAACTGACCCACGAAAACACCGTTAGCAAAGATGACAACAGTGTTCATGAAGCGAAAAAAATTCCCGCGTAGTTTTCTGAAGGCAAAAGTGACTTGCTAGGCAATGAAAGAAATGAATGAAATTTTATCACGACAGTTATAGAATACAAGGACGTATGAATTACAGTTTCATATTTTTTTTCACTTACGGATCGAAGGTTTTACCAAATGAATAAAGTTCGGCGATCGTATTTCCACAAAACAAAACCATTAGTGTTTTAACCATGAGCATTTCATTAGTATTTATTATTATTCGTAAATACAATTATTTTATAACATTCCTAGTTAGATCGTGCTGTGTTTGAACTAGGTTATATTCTGAACTATTAAATGAAGATATAGTGCCCTTTAATTTACTTAGGTTAGTATTCATGACTGTGTTGATCTTTACTGAGTTATACTCTAAATACCGTGCTGTGATTGAACCTGGTATACACTATCAAAGTTTCTGTGATCACAGTAGGAATTTTGCTTGCGTAAATGTAAGAAATGTTTGAGGAAACTAACTCATTGTTTAACACCATGTCAGTTCCCTCAAACATTTCTTACAAATCCATCAAAACGTACAATTTACCAATGCAAAATTCCAATAAATTTTATTGTGATCACAGAAACTTTGATATTGTAAATACCACATAATTAGTTACAACTAAGAATTAAGATTAGTCTATATTGTTACCGCTGTAGACTCCCAAACATTATTCGACATCTGCGAGTTTCAAAACCCAGGCCCAATCAGACGGGAGCTTCGCGACAGGTACCTGAGGCATTTGTATAACCATACCTTTCCTCCCTGTCCCTTGTTTCCATTCTATATCCATATTTAACCCTAACATAGCTACCGTCGTATGGTGAGGGTCTGCAACAGGCGCCATTAACTCCAATGTGTTACTACGTGGCCACTGTAGCACAATGGCATAAACAACGCCATCTTTTGTTGTGTACCTTGGGGAAAAAACATTTAACAGTAATATACACACGTAAAAACGCACAAGTTGTAACAAACTTGTAGCAATGCTGTTCCAACAACTTGTTAACAGAATGTGTTCGCACTGCTTGTTCCCAGCTTGTTGACAAGTTGTCAACGGCTTGTTGACAACTTGCTACAAGGTTGTTGAGCTCAACAGACTGGTTACAAGTTGTTCCAACAACTTGTCATCGTCCTGCAATTCAACAATTTGTCAACAAGTTGTGAGTGACAACCTTGTAGTGACAACTTTGCAACAGGCTTGTAGCAAGCTTGTCAACAAGATGTGTTCGCAACAGGCTTGTTACAAACACATCTTGTTGACAAGCTTGCTACAAGCCTGTTGCAAACAGATCTCGTTGACAAGCTTGCTACAAGCCTGTTGCGAACACATCTTGGTTAGTATGGTTACAAGTTGTGAGATTTTGACGTGTGTAGTATTCTTACCATATTCCTTCAGTCTTCGTTTCGTTCTGCACTCGCCATGGTTTTGACGCATAAATAGCTTGACCACTCACTTTCAACCAATCTCCCATCTGCGTGAGTCTTTCTTGAAATATTGGTACTATACGACCATCGTGGGTAGGTCCGACATTCATTAACAGATTACCGCCACAACTGAAACGTTGCAGATATTAAGCAACGTCGTACCCAGGCACTTTAGTAATGAATAGCGGCTTCAGAGCTCTGGGCGAGCTTTTACGCCGAAACCTTCCCAAAAATCCCCGCGCGCCTAAAAGCTCGCCCAAAGCTCTGAACCATTCATTACTAAAGAGCCTGGGAACGAGGCTGGTATATGAGCCAAATCAGACACATTACACGGGAGGAAATAATGTCGGCAGAATTTACGTGTATTCAAACTACGCATCACAGTTTGTTTAGAAATTAAATTAGCACTCATGCATGTAAACCCAAAATATTTCAAATAGAACAAAGAAATTTAAACGAAAAGAATTCGAGTTTACTGTTTTGAGACCTGAGGTGCTTGGTTTGGAAACGGTGCAATCTCGTTCCCCGAGCCTGCGATCCTCGGGAAGGAACGTGAGGCTCTGGGATAATCCGTTGCCGGAAGCCAGGAATTCTGGCTAAGACTGAACTACGCATTCATTTCAACGGCCAATCAGATTCCTTCCTGAAACGGATTATCCCAGAGCCTCGCGTTCCTTCCCGAGGATCGCAGGCTCGGGGAACGAGAATGGGAAACGGTGCAAAAAAAAAGTAACAGCGTTTCTGTACACAAGAAGCCGCCAAGCGGTCCGTTTTTATCTCGCTCCGTTTAGAAACTGTGTTCAAATTGTTACGGCAAAAGTGACGTTTACAAGTAGTAGATTTAGTAGTATATTTACCTCACAGTTTCAGCAAGTGTTGAGATCAGTTCATGAATGGTAAGAAAATCTTCTAGCTTGGCCTCACGTCGAAATCCCCAAGACTTTTTATCCACTGTCATTGCATTCTCCCACTTGTGTTTCTGCAATATACCTGAGTGAACAATTTTGAATGCGTGAAACATTGAATGCCATATTTTAACATTATGGTGTATCAATAGTATATAATATAATATACCGGTATACCTGGGTTATATCTATCAGCACAAGTATAAGACCCTCCATGATGACACATGCAACCAACGCCCCAGCGATCATTCACCAAAACTGTGTCTTTGACTGGACTGCAAGAAAGCAAGCGCCTTTTACCTCTGCGGATCAACTCATGACACTTATATGTAAATAGAGTCATTTGAGACTCTACTGAACGTCATGGATTTTCTCCTGGTACTCAGGTTTCCTCCCACAGGGAATGTTGACAGGGTGGGTGGGGATTAGCCCCTAACTGTCCCTTCCACCGTAGCTGTGCTCCGTGATCAGGCATGAGTCACAAGGTGGCTGCCAGAAGCGCCCTTAGAAAGCATTCGACTCGATCAGATTGAGCTGCGTCCCTCGTAATTCAGCTTACTAGGTCTCAGCTGCAAGTAAAGATGATAGCACACACCACTTACTTACTTACTTAATGAATGAACTCCTTCGTTAGTCTCATTAAGCTTTAACATCCATAATCAGGGCTATCCTCAAACCTCACCTGTCATTGTAAAGCCAAGCCAGAAACTCTGTACTTCCCCAGTATGTGTCCTTCGCCTCCCAATCTCCATCTGACCAAATATATTCTGGTTTGAATCTGTTTACCATGTCATACAGTTCAGGCATTAGAGTGTTCTTAAAAAGTAATAAACTGTATTGTCATGATGGTGATGATGGTAGTGATGATGGTAGTGATGATGCTGGTGGTGGTGTGGTGGTGGTATGACCACCACGGTGGTGGTGATGGTAGTGATGTTGGTGATGATGATGGTGGTGATGATGATCACAGTATGGTGATGGATGGTGATGATAGTGATAATGATGATAATAGTGATGGTTAAGTGATGGAGATGGTGGTAATTATAATGATGATAATGGTTAAGATGATGGTGATGAAAATGGTGGTGATGATGGTGGTGATAGCAATACTTAGTGGGATAATGATGATAATGGTATGGTGATAATAGTGGTGATGGTGATGGCAGTCACGGTGATGGTGGTAGTGATGGTGATGATGGTGGTGGTGGTGATGATGGTGATGATGGTGGTGATGATGGTGGTGATGGTTATGGTGGTGATGATGGTGATAATGGTTATGGTGATAATGATGGTGGTGATAATGATGGTGGTGATGATGGTGGTGATGGTTATGGTGGTGATAATGGTTATGGTGATGATGATGGTGGTGATGGTGGTTTTAGTGATGTTGATGATGGTGGTGATAGTAATGATGGTGGAAGCAGTGGTGGTGATGTTGATGGTAATCAAAGTGTTGGTGGTGAATGTAATGGTGATTGCAATGATGGTGATGATGGTAACAAAAAATCATACTAACTGTGACATAATCACGAGTTTTGAAGCCATTTGCTTTGTCTTCCAAATATAAAGGATTAAACCATTCAAACAATGAATGATAAAGACCAAATGTGATATTAGTCCGAGCTCGGATGGACTTTGCCAAATCACCTACCAATGCATAATATAGTAATAAATTTCACAATGGAACAAAATAATCACAAAATTGTCTGGCCAAGTCAATTGACGGCCAACACATTCTCCTAGTTATGATAATTAGTAAAACCACCTGTTGTTAGACAGAGTAAAATAACAATGTAGTGCACACACCAACAAGATTCCTGTGAGGTCCAACATCTTCTGAATTCCAATTCCAGGAAACGTTGGATCCCCAGTTGGTAAAACCTTCATGATGCTTGCTCGTCAAAACCAAATATCTAAAAATATAGCAATGCAGTCCAGGGTCTATTCCACATAACTGGATTTACAAAGGTGTGGGGAGAGTCTGGAGAAAAAATTTGAGTATTATGGAATTTTAATGGGAATGGCATATTTCCATCTTTTAAGGGGGTGTTATATACATTTCCAGTGAATTTCTAGGAGGAGTGCAAAAAAAGTGGTACCTCACCAAAGGGGAGGAGTTAAAACTGTTTGCAAATACTTGCACTGTAAATGACAAAAATTCAATGATAAATCATTTCTACAATTGTTAAACTACATTAAATTTGAATCGAGTTCTCAACAATTTCTAAAGACTAAATAAGACAATAAATAAAATATCAATTAAAATAAAATAGCCTATATATAAATCGACAATAAATTCGTCAAGAAACACTCACTTCGCACCTGACTTTGCGAGCAAATCTGCCCACGCATCAGGGTCAAACATTTCTGCACGAAACATAGGAGCAAAATCTGGATATTCAAAACCCGGCGGATAATTTTCCTTCATAAAATTCGCGTATGCTGGGTCGCCGTTATGCCAATTTTGCCAAAACCATTCCGACCCAAAAGATGGCACAGAATAGACGCCCCAGTGCATAAAAATGCCAAATTTCGCTTTATCGTACCACGGCGGGTTTGGCCTCGAATCCAGAGAGTCCCAATTGGGTTTGTACTTGCAGGAAACGCTTTGAAACGACAGGAAAATATAAAGAAATACGTAGAAAAAGTACCTGGCCATTTTGACAGATCACAAACAAGATTACAATCATAACAGGTGGTACTTCATGCGAGCAAAATTAAAGCGGACTGCGAAACACTGAGCTCAGCATTTACACTGGATGAACACACCTAATATTGTCAGCTTTGCTCGTATTTAAATGTTTTTGCAAACAACTGACAAATTATTCTACTGTAACTGGTAGCAGAGAAACGATTAAAATCAATTTTGGGACCCACATCCTTGAACTATCTTGCTTAATTAATAAAACAGCAAAAAATTGGCTGAACTTGGCGACATTCCAAAGACATGTAGACATTATATTTTGATTACTTGAAGTAACCTGACAATAATGTCAATAATGGCAGAAGAATTTTCAAATTTTGAAAACGGTTCTTTGCCAAAGAAACGTAAAAAAGTCTACGATGAAAATGATTTGTGTTTATTTAATGAGCAAAGCAGTTCAGGTATAATGTTGCGAGCATATTTAGTCAATCATTTAGTTGTCTAGAATTCTCTTTCAAATGTAATAGACCATTTCACCGAATGATGTGGCAATGCATTGTGGTATATATTTAGTGGGTTTCAGTAAAAGCCCATTTATAAAGTCGCCACATTTCGGATTTTGTCATACGCTGATGAACAGGAATAGTGACGTCAGCAGTCGTTTTCATACTCCAGAATGATAAATTGGTAATCATATATGAAGGTGTTGATGGGGTATATCGTGAGTCGTGATTCACTCAATTTTGGTTACCATCAGTCGTGAAATCACTAAAAATTTACCGTGAAGCGTGAGGAAAAAAGTACTGTTTATCGTTTCAGAACACTTTTCAAAGATTTAAGTTAAAATACCAAAATGTTACAGTATTGTTACCATTAAAATACCAAAACTTTTACTGTTTACTGATTTTCAGCCCCCATCTATACCCTCATATATGACTAGTCATATTGGGCCTTAATAGTTACAGGTCATCCTCATACCCATATATATGTGCGTAGTAAATTGTGGCTAAACCATTAATTTGCTATGTGCCCTGATGCACCTAACTACAATGCTCATCTGATGCCACTAAAAATTGTTTACTAAATACTATGTATTACCAAATAGTTGAACTGCCGTGTGATACAATGGCTGCCATACTGTACATCAAGTCAATATTTCCTCTGACGATATTTGGAAATATATTACCTCCAATCATTTTGAAGCATCAGATTTATTGTGTCGTGAAGGACAAGACTCTTGTGGATCGACAACTGGTATGATATGGTTGGTGTTTGGGGTGGAATGGAATGGTATGGTGTGTGGTATATGGTGTGGTGGTACAATATATTATAGTGTGGTATGGTATGGTGTGGTGAGTTATGGTATGGTGAGTTATGGTATGGTGTGTGGTATGGTATGGTATGGTGTGTGGTATGATGTGGTATAGTATGTTATGGTATGGTATGGTATGGTATGGTATGGTATGGTATGAGTTATGGTATGGTATGGTGAGTTATGGTATGGTATGTGGTATAGTATGGTATGGTATATGGTGAGTTAAATGGTATAGTATGGTATGGTATGGTATAGTATAGTATGGTATGGTATGATATGGGGTGATGTGGTATGGTGTACAGTATGGTAGGGTAGTTTATAGTATGGTACACTGTGGTATGGTGTAGTATTGTATAGTCTTATATGCATAGTGTGGTATGGTGTGATATAGTCTGTTCTTCATTGAACTCACATACTCGACAAAACACAATATTTTCATTAGAATAAACTCTGGCAAGAACGAAAACTTCAGTTATTCAAACTCATTTCTGGCTCGGATGAATTTGCCATGGTTCTCATGGAAGATCTTATTGCTCATGTCCAGACGAAACAGAATTCAGAAAACTCGACCGTACTCGAGAGATTTTTGAGCAGTGCTCTTCCCACTTGTACTGACGTCAGCATTAGTACAAAAACTTTAAGTGAAGAACACGACATAAAAGAAAAAGACATAACGTAAGGATTTATTTCAGTTCTATCGAGCATTGGTTTGCCCTGTGTAATCCGCAATCCAGCAAAATTTATATTACGTATAAATAGAGTTTCCCTTATAAGCTTGCCACACACGAAACTTACCGAGGTAATCGCCTCGCGTGGATTTAGCCTCTCGAGGCCTTGAGGAAAATATCTTTCTCAAATTCATGAATAATTCATGAGCAATTCAGCCAATGATAATCACCTATTTGATCACAAGATGCCATTTGGATAACCCGGTGAAACTTGATGAAAGTCACTAGTGTTTTCATCAAATATCTTAATTACGCATGCAAAATTACTTGAATAGAATTCCTAATTACGTTATGCTTGGTTACGATTACGAATTCTATTCAAATCAGCAAACGAAAAATTCTGTTATGTCTCGATTCATACATTGTTTTCTCGTGTTTGGATATCCCGGTGAAACACTCGCTCTCGTTGTTCATATATTACATCGCGTTTGATATTTTTCACCTCGCGAGGAAAACATCTCAACGTCTGCGGATGTTGCGAGCTTAGTGCCGAGCTGTCAGTCTTAATCGACAAGCGACGTTCTTGTCACCGCCAAAATTAGTTCTACAATTTTTCGGGTGACGTCTGTCCGTGTTGACGAAAGTCATAAACGTCTCAAATTCAACGAAAAAGAATCGAAAAACAAGCAGTTAAACCTTCTATGGTCATACTGTATTTTATGGTCTGTTGAAACGACTCTTTCAAGTGACACATTTCCTGCACTTGTTGAAGCTATCTTTAATAAAGCAAAAGTTATTTTAAAAGCGTTTTGATTGCACCGACAAAGATGTAAATTTAGCTTTGCGGTTTGCGATGTAAGTAAATGATCTTCAAATCTTGAGGACCAGCGTTCATTTATATCCATTTCTCTTTCAAACTGGCAACAAAAAATGTCAAACATTTCAGAGTTTTGGTGAAAAGCGGTTTACTGCAGTGCCGTGACGTCGGTAGCTGGTGGCTGGGGATTCCTGGGGCTGGAGTCTTTATGAAACACTTCACGAAAGGAAGACAGAATATTTTGAGAATGATACGAAAACGAAAATTTAAGGAGATCTTACAACGGGTAATGTTTAATTAACGTGGATTAGTGACCGGTGATTATTAATGGCTGGGGATGGCACGAAAGAGAAAAGGGTTGGGTAAACAAAATTTTGAAGTAAATGAAAAACAAAACAATTCAAGAGTTGGGTAATAAAAATTTATTGTCATTTCCAAAGCATGATTCACTCAAATATTGATGACTAAAAAGCAATGTCAACCAGTCAATAAAAGTCTAAATCCTTTTAAATTTTATTTATGAAATAACCAATTGAATAAAAGGATAGAATTTAGTTTTTTTGTGAGATTTAACATGCATTTGTTGAAGTCATTAGTACTTGTATAAAATTTAGAAAGATTTAAACTTTTACGTGCGTACACGCACGTGTATGAAAAACGCTTAACTGGAGAGCAGCCTTCAGTAAATCAATCCGAGTCACTATCTTGATCATTTTCCGATTTGTCAAATGAGGCAAATGGTGTCTCCAAAGAAAGTACATGTGCAGAGACAAGCAGTTATCAAACTCATGTCACAGGAGTGGTAAAGGACATATGTGACAACTGAATGGTATCGTTTTGTAAAGATTTTTGGCCAGGGCTGGGTATTTATTTTTAATTGATATTCGAAGTTGGGTAAAAAAATTCTTGACTTTTTAATGGCTGGATCAGAAAAATGTTTACCAAAAAAATATTTTTCTTCGATGCCACCCCACCGCCATAAATAATGACCCATCCCTTAGTGCGTTGTACTCTTCTTCAAAGATACAGTTTAGTGTGTGCGTTTATACAAAGGCCAAAGCAATTATATATAATTTGCTGACAGATGAGCGCATCATTTTCTTCAGTGTGCGATTGTTTCTCGAACGTTCTGTGGCAGTATAAGAAAGCCTTAAGAATTGAATTTATCAATATCCATCTTTGGGATTTAAAAATACAATGGATTTACATTGAGTCATATGATAAATAAGATCAATAATTACAGTTAAAAAACTAATATTAAAAAGGCTAAGTTAAAAGACAAAGTTCAATATGTTATCAGATTTATATATATTTATACTAGATCTTGCAATCAAAGATTGCTTATGTCTCTCGGTTCTAGATAAAACTGTATAAGAATGATTTTGTCTAAGTTTATATGGGTATTCTCTAGGATCAGGCAGTAAGGTATGGCAAGGGTGGGTGAGTGGTTCCCGCTTGAATCCTCCTGATCTCTCGGATGGTTGCTAATTCACGCCTGCTTCTTAAAGAAGGCAGACAGTCTCCGTCCAGATCAAGAATTTTCAGGCTCCTTGTCCGTGCACATTCAATTTATTGTGGAATTTCTGCCCAAACAGACGATGCGTATTTCGTCGAGAAGTCAGTAGCGGACTATGATTTGCAGGGACGCCGGAACTGGGGGGGGGGGCAGGGGGGGCGGCTGCCCCCCTTGCCTTTTGCTAGGGGGGCAGGGGGGGCAGAAGTGCCCTTTTAGTTGTTAAATAATACGTGATAAATCACATTTCCAACGATGAATTTTGTAGGAAAATCACGAGATTCAGGTAATTTATAGTTTATATTTATAAAAATTTTTGGAAATTTTTGGAATTTAGAAAAATATTTTGAAGAAATGGCGAAAATTTAAGATGTCCGGAAAAAATTTTGGCTTCAAGGAAAATTTTTGTATGTCCAAAAAAAATTTTTGACCCCTAAAATGGTACACTGACCGAAATTTTTTTGGCGACGGGGGGGACGTCGCCTAAAAATTTTGTGAAAAAATTTCAGTAGTAAAAGTGCCCTTGGTGTGCGTCCGCCCCCCTTTGCCCTATTATCGTTCCGGCGTCCCTGATGATTTGTTATACTAATTTCCCGATCAAGTGCCTTCGCTCGAAACGTCGAAGTTCTCCTTGTATTTTTCAGGTAGTTGCACCTGTGTGCATGTACTGCTCAATTAGTCCATTGTTCAAGATAACGAATGCATTCAAGTAATGCGCGGTGCTTTAAATGATTCGAATAAACGTTTGCCGAAAGATTACTGATCGTTTTTACCGATAAAAAGCTCTTAATTATCGAGCTGCGGTTTCTACTGGTTGAAAAAGTTTTTAAATTAAAAGTGTTGATTAGTTGTTTCAACGAGATTGAATGAGACGCCCTATGAGAAAATCGTTTCGGTTTTAGATGAGAAGAAAACAATACTTTGTTAATTATGCACACAGCTTGTTTCCATAACAATTAATATACACAACACAGGCCACAGCCAACAGGAGATTGTTGATTTGAAGGAGTTATATACCCACGTTCTAAAATTTCTGGTTTATACATGACAGGATCTGGAAACGTACAAAGTTAATTCGAAATTGGGAATACAATACCATATCTATGACATTATCGGAGCTGAACTTGTTCAAAGGTAGGAAGAGATTTTTTGTCGGATTGTAATTTCACCAGTCTCATGTGAGAAGAGTGCTTCTATAATATGTGTTTGCGAAACCAAGACCACGGGTTTTCTCTGGGTACTCTAGGTTTCTCCTCGACTAACACTGCCCCAGTTAGAGATGGCCCTTACTGGATCTCCAGGAAGAACAGTTTAGAACTGATAGAGCAATCCAGTAGAAATAAAGTTAGTTTAGTTTAGGTTTCCTGCTGTAGTAACACTGGATCAATAAGAGATGATCCTTACTGGACTTCTAGGGAGAACAGTTTAGAACTGATAGAGCAATCCAGTATAAATAAAGTTAGTTTAGTTTAGGTTTCCTCCTGTAGTAACACTTGATCACTAAGAGATGATCCTTACTGGACCTCTATAGGAAGAACAGTTTATAGAACTGATAGAGATATCCAGTATATAAATAAAGTTAGTTTAGTTTAGGTTTCCTCTTGTAGTAACACTGGACCAATAAGAGATGATCCTTACTGGACCTCTAGGAAGAACAGTTTAGAACTGTTAGTGCTATCCAGTATAAATAAAGTTTGTTTAGTTTAGGTTTCCTCCTGTAATAACACTGGATCAATAAGAGATCGACCTTAATGGACCTCTCTTGGGAGAACAGTTTAGAACTGATAGAGCTATCCAGTATAAATGAAGTTTGTTTAGTTGACGTTGTCTCCAGAAGTACCACTGCACCAATAAGAAATGACTAAGAAACGACCCTAACTATATATTTTAAATTTATTTTAGCATTGAAACAACGTCAGGTTCCCTATTAAGATTGGAGTCGTAATACGAACATATATAAGGTCAGTTGCGTCACAAAATGTCCCAGTTTTGTGAAGTGTATAGAGAACTGTATATGGGGGGGGGGAGTTGGTTAATTACGCTGTCAAAATTTCATCAATTAAAATTCAAAGATCTTAAATCTAGAAATCCGTACTCAAATTATCTTAGTTGGATGTCAAATTCCACGGAAAATGTTCTGGATGCCTGTGGCTAGTTTTAATTAAAATCCCCGTCTTCACTGTAAATTCCAAGTAGTTTTTGATAACAGATAGCATTTTTGGACTTGATTCAATTCCTTGAATTATCAGATTTTCGCCTCTTTAATTTCACTCTTTTTCCTGTTGCCAAAATAAACGCTATCTCGCTTCCTGGAACATGCAAATTATACATTCTGACAAATTTAATCGTATTTTAATCTTCACATGTAAAGGCTTCCCCTTTATGAACGTGACAAGCTGCAAACTTCAAAATATGTGGCAGTGTAAACCACTTTTAAAAGTACTATTTTCATATTCCCTGCAGGTAAAGGGTCCTTTAAATATTTGTGGCAAATCTCTTTGTAGAACTGTAAACCTCTTTTAAAAGTACAATTTAAATAATTTTCATATTTCCAGGTAAAGCGTCCTTTAAATATTTCGGTGGCAAATGTAAATCTCTTTGTTGAACTGTAAACCTCTTTTTAAAAGTACTATTTAAATTTAAATGATCGTCATATTCTCAGGTAAAGCGTGCTTTAAATATTTGTGGCAAATGTGAACTCTTTCAAAAGCATATTTTGAGTGAAAGTTTGTTGATAACGCCATACTGGTTCCCAGTCTATTTCCAACACACCTTATAGCAGATGTTTTGGCGAACGTGACAATCTCGAACCCCGAGTAAATCGAAGCATGTGCTCTTATCATGCGGCAGCTTTTATCGCTACTTTGACGTTGAACTCGACTAGTGCATGTGTGTTTATTTATTTGTTAATATCGGAAATGCGTAAGTGTCCTTGCACTTTACAATTCAAATTACATTCGATAAGAGGCCATTAGTTATTGCGCATAATTCGCTGATAACTACAGTTGCTATGCTAAAAGGAACAGAATTATGCTGATCGATTTATAACACGTTATACAGTATAACGGATGTTTTGTAGTGTTTTATAAGCTGTTAACAGGATGAAGTGAATAGTTAAACCAAATGCATTCTGTGTGCAAAGTTAGTACGCTTTGTTCTTCCTTTCGAGAACTTGATTGACAGATGCGGAAACAATACACGCAGCACGCTATTGATTCAAGTATAATATCAAAGTCTTACAGTTTACTACAAAACCTGGACTCGGTGTCGGACACTAGGGGGGCAAGTACGTGGAAGGGCAACTGCCCCCCCCCCCTTGACAATTTCTAAAAGCCTTTGAATAATGGCAGAAAAACTGTATACTGATCAACGAGGCATTGGTAGGCTAAACATTAAGCTGTACAGGGTGTATAAAAAAAAAGGTAATCGAACTTCAGCGCGCAATTGTATCTGAATTACTCTGCGTATGAACGAGATTTTTTCGGAAAGATCATGCTTTTAGCTGTTGAATGATATCTTCTTCATGCCAAATGTATAAAAAATGAGCAAATACGAATCCGATAAAAAATGTTAGTCAGAATCGCATATTTTCACCGTTGAGAGTTGGATCTAAAACCATTGAAAAAGAACCCCCTTTAGGACTTAAGTTGATGAATTTCACTACATTAAACTGCACACATATTCATAATTATTATTTAAGTAGGAATAAATCTTAGCTAAGCTACGACACGTTCGTGATTAATTGCTTTTTCTTTTGTTATGCATTGTTTTAATTAGGCACAGAGGTGAAAATTATGCGATTTTGACTAACATTTTTAATCGGCCTCGTACATGCTTATTTTTTCTCCATTTGGTATGAAAAGCATGTCATTCAATAGCTAAAAGCCTGATCTTTCCGAATATGAAAACCAATTGTTCATACGGCGAGTGATTCACGTATAATAGCGCGCTGAAGTTCGATTACCTTTTTTTTTATACACCCTGTATATTGCATGAAATTTAAGGCAAAAAAGTTTAAAGAATTATGATTCCCAGCTTCAAAACGTGGTCATATGTTGGTAACTTAATCCCCCCCACCTACCAAGGGTCATCTCTTACCGATCCAGTGTTATTACAGGAGGAAACCAGAGCTTGACTCCAAGTTCGAGAGTCAGATATTCCAGAATCCAGGTTAGTCCAGATCACATTCCAGGATTTCACCCAACCTCCCCTATGTAAGACAGTGTCTTACCCGCACAACTAATTATACTATACTTATACATCATATAGCGGATATCAACGACAAACAGCGAGTCTTTGAATCGCCCATTTCGTCAGTAATACTAATCTATGGAATACAAGTTTATGCGATGACAAACTACACTAATGGAAAAGGAGAGCAATTGGATTATATATTTGACCAGAGTTGGGTGAAACACCTGACCATTTATTTCCTTGCTGTAGTGATCATTCTCACTGCGTTTGAGAACGGTCTCGTCCTATGGGCTATGAAGCGCTTTGTCGCTCTACGCAAGCCGGCTAACATGTATCTTGGTGGCTTGGCGATTGCCGATTTCATTATGGTCATCCCATTGACACTAAAGATTGTTCAGATTTTGACTCGAGTCCCAGAAGTGTGCGTTGCCCAAGGGATCTCGATGCTTATCACAGTATCATGTGTTAGTCTTCACTTGGCTTGTATTGCTATTGAACGCTTTGTGAGCATCAAATATTGTCTTCGCTATGAGTATATTGTTACGAAACCACGGATTTACGTCTCTATAGCGGTAATGTGGACATTCAGTATTGTGGCATCATTTGTGGTTCCAGTAGCTATGCACCCTGGACATTTTCAAAACCTTGCAGATGGTTTGCTAACATTATGTTCTCCCGAACGAAAGCCGCGTATGAGCGAGCTACCGAATCAGGTTTTTCACTATGCTGAGTTCATGTTGATATTCTTCTTTGCTGTACCTTGCGTGATAATACTGGTATCAAATACGTACATCTTCGTGGCCTCCTCACGACAAAGGCGAAAGATCATTCTTCTTCAAAGAAGCGACGTCTCGAAATTGCGCGTGATTGCGAAACGATTACTGGGAGACTTGAAAGCGGCTCGAATGCTTTTCTTTATACAAGCTCTGTTTATAACCGCTTATTTCCCATACTTTGCAGTCACTGTACATAGAATTGAACATAGTCAACACAATGAACGTTTATTCTTTCGTGTTTCCAAAAGTTTGTCTTTTCTTACAGCGCTTACGAGCTGTCTGAATCCTTTAATATACGTGTCTTGTAATGAACAGTTTCGAAAAGCTTTTCGAAAATTACTTGGGATACGTAAGAAAGAAAAACGAGATTCGTCATCGACTCAACAGAATGGACAACATACGTGACAGTTTACGGATTACGGGTTGTTGAAATTTGATTGTGTATATAATCATTATGTAAATGCTTGTATATTTATTTGTAGGAACAAATTACAAATTAATAAGATATTGATCGTTACAGCTTCAAACAGTAGTTTGTACAGATACAATACAGACAATATAATTAATAGTTTATTATATAATACCTTAATACATTCTAATCGTTTAATTGGCTGTTTATGGTCACGTGATATCGAATAGAAAATTCCATTTCCCAAGAGTGCAATGGAACACGTTCCATTGCACTCTCCGCGAGTGCAATGGAATAAAACGTATAGTACAATTGCACTCTTTGTGTTTTCGATAAATCCCGCATCCCTCAAAATGCTTCTCATACGAATCTATTAGTCTATTTAAACTATTTTGGTATTATATAAAACAAATAATGAATGTTTCTTCGTGCAATGGTAAGAATATTTTCATTCGGTGAAAGATGGAATGTTCCATTCAACTCGGCTGTTGCCTCGTTGAATGGAACATTCTATCTTTCACCTCATGAAAATATTCTTACCATTGCACTCATAAACATTCATTATTTGTATAATATGTTTCGTAACTCGTTTTCGGAAGACACTATATGTTTGGCAATCTAAGGCCGAATCTTCATCAGTGCATTAAGGCCCCGTTTACACTATACCGGATTGCTATCGGAGTGGGTCAAATTTTGTAGGCATTGAAAGGCTGTGAAGATTTTTAATCACAGAGACCCAAATAAACATGCCAATTCTGTCAAACTAATAAGCATTTGCTACTAACCATTGCTCCTTAACGGCAGAAGATGATGGCGTGACGAGCGAATCCGGTATAGTGTAAACGGGGCCTAAATGAATGTGGTATCGTTTTATTCTTGAAATGAAATGTAATTATAGTTCAAAGCTTTTACGTTTAACATGCTGAGCGAACACAGTTCGATTTTCCGCTTTGTCATCTGTGATCAATATTATACTTGTAGTTTGTTTTCGCAACGATAAATGTTAATTGTATCAAGGGAAGTGTATTTGAAGACCATGCACTAACGCGACTGTATATATACGCGGAAAATCGACAGTATGACGTTTATAGGCAGGGCATTTTTTAAGAAATTACAACTACTGGGGCTTAGTCTCAATGAGGGCCTTTCCCCACACAGTTTATACGGGTACATAAAAATCACTCTGTGCTCAGAGGCAGCGCTATCGCTATTTAAATAGAAGTGTAAGTGAAATATTGCCTACTAATTTCAAACGCTAATTAGTATTTCTTTTTCGTGAACTGGTATTAGATAATTTGCAGACTACCTGACAACTGGGGGTGTTCCACACCCACTATTAGCACCGCCTCTGCCGACTTTTATAAGAGGGAATTAATGTCGAGAATGTGAGAGGATATGAGAAAGCAGGCAGATACAGCTTTTTCAACAAGCGGCGGTCAACCTTTTACTAATGATAATTTAAAAGGGCCCAGCTCATCTGAAAATCATGCTTCACTACTGGGGCAAGCAAAGGGCCTACTGGGGTAAATGCCCCAGTGGTTATATATAGTTAAAAAAAATGCCATGCGTTTAGGCTTCCGAGAATCTACCAATTCTAAGAGCCAACTGTTTATAAGTTTAGGCCAGTGAGAATATACCACAAAGGAAGTGTATTTCAAATTTAGCTGTGTTAAGAACCAGCGCTAGCAGTTTGAAGTCTATATATATATATATATATATATATATATATATAGAATTTTACGTTCCCAACCAATAGTTTGAAGGAGTTTGATATAAGCTCGAACGACTAGCGTGGGTAGGATTGAGAGCAATTCAAGTCGAAGTTTCGCTTGTATTTTTAAGCCCCGTTTACACGAGCAAATTTTATTTGACAAATTTCATTTGATCAAAAGCTAGCATGCTGGCTTTTGTTCAAATGCATTTGTCACAATAAATTTGTCACAAATTTATCATCTACACGATCAAAATATCTTTGGCATATGAAATTTGTCAAATAAAATATGCTCGTGTAAACGGGGCTTTAACCCAAACTTTTTTTGTAAATATGTATTGTGCAACGGCCCCTTGGAAAACAGCTCTTATCTATGCTGAAGGGCTACCGTTGTGTTTTTTTAAAGAAGATTAAATAATAATAATAATAATAATAACCTTGAAGTTTAGGTTATAGTCACGAGTCACAATCTACCAATTCAAGACCGCTATATGAGACTTAGGCTATATCATTCATTTTCCACAATAAAACAGGTTATTTCAAGACCACTACCCACACTGAAATCGTTTGAATTTTAGGCTCTCCCGGCACAAAGAACACTATTTCAATTAGATTTATATCTCACAGCTTGGTACATATAAAGAACATTAGCAATTACAATGCTTCATTGGGGGTGTATGAAGGCATTGTTTAACAGTGCATTTCAATTACGTACTTGGTGGGACCACAGTTAATAAAGACCCGACATAAAAAAATTCTTTCATGAAGTAAAATGTTATATTTACCACTTCCGGTAATTTTTTTGCAACCATCAACCCTGCAGTGACCTTAATATATATAGAGCTAGAGCAAAATCTGCAAAGACGGGGGAATATTTGACTAGGTACCAGTCCCTGCGCTGACTCCAGAGCTCACTGCTCCGCCAGCGCGCTTCTTCGCCGAAGACACTGGGGACGAGTTCAGCTTCGAAGATTGATAACGTAATTTACTATCTTTGACTTTAATTAATATCATGACAGCTAACTATTGACCTAGCGAAAAATAATTTTGCAAAATACAAGTATGTATTTGAAAATAATATTAATTAATCGGAGAGCTTATAAAGCAAGCAACGTTTCTGTCAATACGCACGCCAGATTGTCGAGGGGGACTGGATTAAAAACTGCGTTTGTATAATTTTGTGGTATAAATCTTCAACACTGATATGACAAGATTTTTGAAGTTTTTTCTTCCTTACACGAGAGCTAGCTATGATGCAAAATACCGTCAAAATTTTTAACCTCACTAAATTATATAGTTATACTTATAGCTTAATTTAGACTCTAATGTCCGAGTGAGAATATATTCTTTTTTAAAAAAGGCTCCTAATTTTAACTTTTAAAGTTAAGTTATTCTAGAATTTTCTGTTTTGGTTTTGTTTGATGCATGTATTTCCATTTTTCAAAATAATGAACTGCTTTCGTCTGGCCTTAGTTTAATTCACTAATTATATATCTTAATTTAGACTCTATAATATATTCTTTTTTAAAAAAGCTCCTGATTTAACTTAAGACAGTAAGTTATAATTTTTCTGTTTTGGTTTTGTTTGATGCATGTATTTCCATTTTTCAAAATAATGAACTGCTTTCGTCTGGCCTTAGTTTAATTCACTAATTATATATCTTAATTTAGACTCTATAATATATTCTTTTTTAAAAAAGCTCCTGATTTAACTTAAGACAGTAAGTTATAATTTTTCTGTTTTGGTTTTGTTTGATGCATGTATTTCCATTTTTCAAAATAATGAACTGCTTTCGTCTGGCCTTAGTTTAATTCACTAATTATATATCTTAATTTAGACTCTATAATATATTCTTTTTTAAAAAAGCTCCTGATTTAACTTAAGACAGTAAGTTATAATTTTTCTGTTTTGGTTTTGTTTGATGCATGTATTTCCATTTTTCAAAATAATGAACTGCTTTCGTCTGGCCTTAGTTTAATTCACTAATTATATATCTTAATTTAGACTCTATAATATATTCTTTTTTAAAAAAGCTCCTGATTTAACTTAAGACAGTAAGTTATAATTTTTCTGTTTTGGTTTTGTTTGATGCATGTATTTCCATTTTTCAAAATAATGAACTGCTTTCGTCTGGCCTTAGTTTAATTCACTAATTATATATCTTAATTTAGACTCTATAATATATTCTTTTTTAAAAAAGCTCCTGATTTAACTTAAGACAGTAAGTTATAATTTTTCTGTTTTGGT